GCACCATTTCCACTTATTTCTTAATATCTAGAAAATGTGTTTTTTATGTTTGTTTGTTTTCATTAAAACCAACTGTGGCATCATGTAAACAAACTGGCATTTAAGAGGTTTAAATCCCCAAAATGAATGAATATTTGGTAGTTATGATCAGGAATGCTGTAGCTTTAAAAAAAAAAAAAAAAAAAAACTCAGTGGAAAATAATATGAATAAATATTTTTGTCCTTAAGGTCCAACATGTGCTTAGAGACACTGCACACACAAAAACAAAAACCTCCACATTGACTGTGATAATCAAAGTATTTTTTTCCACTCTGACCATTTAGCATATTTAAAATAATTATTTACTTTGTTTTGCTTCATTACAAAGTGACATCATGTAAACAAACTGGCACTGAAGGGGTTAAAATCCTAAAAATGAAAGAACATTTGGTTATTTTAGTGAAAAAAAAACGCTTTTTGTTTGTTTATCTCTTTACTAAAACATATGATGTAAACGAACTGGCATTGAGGGGTTAAAATCTTTAAAATAAATGAACATTTGGTAGTTATGATCAGGATTGATGCATATTTTAAAAACTTTTTTTGTTGTTTTTTCTGCAGCTTTTTCACGCATGTGGGTGAAGCGTTGACGTGAGAAAGACGAGTTTAAACAGATTTTCTTACCGAAGTGACTCAGCCGATCACTATTTGACGAAAAGGGCATCAACGTAACATATAAATCAACCCAAATAAATAAACTTACTGACAGCATGTTCTCCAACCAACTCAAACTAAACAGCGGGTAAAGTTTTAGTCTCCCATCAGCCTGCAGGTGCTCTGCGCTCACTTGCCTGCACTTGTTGCATCCAGAGTTCAAAACCGTTTCACTCCCACATAACCGTGACAAAAAGTAAAATACATACGAAAAAACAACTTACAAGAGATTTAGTCGTCGAGCTGCAGCCGGAGGTTCATCTTGTGGCTGCTCTCCACAGTCATAAGTCCGCTAATGTCACGCTAACAATCCCGGAAGTAGAAACGATACCACTTCCGGTCATCACTTCCCAATAAAATGTCGGAATGTTATTGTAAAAATAAACGCCGTGAAAGGGTAAAAACACCGTATATCTAAGGATAAATGTCGAAATGTTGTTTATATAAAATACTACAAACACGACAAACCACAGACTTACAGACAGTCTCTGGGGAACAGCCAGGAAGTGTATTTACATGGCAACAGCAAACACTAACAAGCATCTGGGAATGGGCTCATTAGCTTTACTTATTATGATAAAACGCTGGTTAACCTGTGTCAGCACATGGCTGGAGGTAATCACAGACACACAGCACGATGCAGGCAGCAGACTTCATCTCATGCCAAAGTATGACAGCAAACAGAAAAGCTTTTATGATATCTTTGAGATGGCAGCAGATAGATGACAACAGGCCACACTGTTGGATTCCATCCATCCATTATCTATACATCACTTAGTCCTCACTAGGGTCACAGGGGGCTGGAGTCTATCCCAGCTGACTTCGGGCGAAGGTAGGGACACTGTTGGATTATTCAGTGGAAATATAACTACTTACAATTACGAATGAGCTGGATTTCTGAGTGATTACACTTCGAAAATGGCCTCTATTGGGATTTCAGAACCAAATCTGATTTCATCTGAGCTTGAGGCACCATTTATACACCAGACCCCGATAAGATGGTTACTTTTTCAGACAAAATACTGTTCGTGTCACAGCACGCGTGTTTTAGTTATGATAAGGAGGAAATGTTAGCAGCGGAAGGTTGTAATTGCTGTGGCAATAATCTTTTCATCACTTGAAACTGTCTTTAATACAAGTTTACCCTGTTTCATCAACAGAGAAACCACCCGTGTGAGTGCCATCACTGATCTGAGATAAGATTTGTTATGGTATAAATAAAAGCCTTCAATAGAGGTTTTTTTTTTCTTTTTTTGGTTGGATCACAGATGTGTGGGGCATTTCTGTGTTTATAGTAGAGTTCCTGTCAGATAAATCAAAGAACACAATACTCCATTGTCAATAAACGTTTGCCTCAACTGTTTGAGTTTCATGCATCTGGGTCAGCCAATTCTTAAACTACTAAATTATGTTTATGGCGTGACGCCTGGCTTTGCCAACGTACGCAACATTAAAACGTATTTGGTATTTGTCCCAGTAATCATAATTACTGCTCTAAAACAGGACCAAAAAAAAAAGAAACCATTATGCAGAAATCCACTAAATCTAAATTGTCTGACTTAAAATGCTTCATCAAGTTAAGGTAAGTATTCTTAGAGGTGGTTATGGACGTGGCCATGTGCATCAGAAATTAGATATCATATATAATTTACTAGGGCTGCAAGGTGGTGCAGTTGGTTAGCACTGTTGCCTCGCAGCAAGAAGGTCGTCGGTTCGCGTCCCGGTGGGGGAACCGGGATCTTTCTGCGCGGAGTTTGCATGTTCTCTCCGGGTTCTCTGGCTTCCTCCCACATAGTCCAAAAAACATGTTGAGGTTAATTGGTGATTCTAAATTTTCCGTAGGTGTGAATGTGAGTGTGCTTGGTTGTCTGTCTCTAAGTGTAGCCCTGTGATGGACTGGTTACCTGTCCAGGGTGTCCCCTGCCTTTGCCCTAAGTCAGCTGGGATAGGCTTCAGCCCCGCCACAACCCTAGTGAGGATTAAGCGATGTATAGATAATGGATGGATATAATTTATTAGCCCAAAGACAAGGACTTTACCCGTACACCTTAAATGTTTTTGCTTCGGCATAGAGATGAATCATCTCATGTGACAAGAAGATTACATTCTGCTCTGACTTCCGTGTATATAAACGGCTAATTGACATCACATTCATGCCTTTTGTTTACCATTAGGGCTGATGTCTGCATTTGGTTATAAAGGTGTCACCAGAAAATGAGTTACGAGCCTGAAATATCTTACAGTGAATGGAATGTTCCTTCTGGCATCCTGCAGTACTGTACAAACAGCGTCTCCCGGGCCTGTCTGAACTCATACCGGGATGGTATTTCCAGCTAAAATGCTTGATAGGAAAAGTGATTGGTCTCAAGTCAAAACAAGATGATGGCGTGATTACATAATGGAACCGAAATTCTTTCTACAAATATTCCCCGTAATTTATTCACACCCATCTTGTTTGCTGTAGTTACAACTTGAGGGCGAACCTTTGATAATGTTTTGAGGAATGTTATCACAACCTACCTGACATGATCACAAATGTAATTTTAACCCCGTCATCCGCATGTTTTAGTAGTACTCGTGGCATGTGCCGATAGTTTTGTTTCAGCGTGACAGAAATGCATTCTGTTTATATTCTCTTATCTGTTATATTTGCCTTACCAACACTACCCACTCCCTGTTTTTATTAATCATCTGCAGGAAAATGATTTCCCAAAACTAATTTTTGATGCTGTTTTCTTTCAACATTGGTGTTGAAAAAAAAAAGATCATTACTCAAAAATAAAACCTGCATTGAAACCACTGTTTAACTGCCTATTTAGCACAAAAGATCTTCTCTTGACAAATCCTTTTTCATCCTCACACCATATTTGCTATCCCAAAATCCCAAACAGAAACCAGACCTTTCTGCTTTGTCTCATCACCTGCTGGGAGTGGAAGAAAGCCTCTCACAGGCCAGATCAGGTCCCGAGTCCTGTCCAGCTGTGAGAATGATCCCTTTCAGAGAAATTACAAGTCTGTTCAGAGGAGAGTAGGTGAGGACCATCCCACTTTCCCACCATAAAAGGCCTTTCCTTTCATTCCCTTCTCCTCCATCTGTGTCTTGAGATGTAACCCAGTGGCACCGCTGTGATGGAAGCGTGACTAAAAAAAAAAAAACACCTGACAGGAAGCGAGACAGCGAAGCAATCCCAACAAATGGAGGGTGGTACAGCCACGTGATGGAAAGTGTTACTAGAAGATGAAAAAAAAAATGCACAAACATATTACATAACAGATGGGCACCTGCATGAATGAGCACCTCACACATTCCTATGTCTTCACTGTGTACATCTCTTAATGCAACACTGCGGTGAGCGGTATTATCAGAGCTGTCAAGGTCTAATGACTGGCGGCGCTGTGTTTCGTTGACTCCTTTATTTGCATCCTGCTTCTGTGGACAGAACTGAAGCGCCGATGACTGATGAGAAATACGGGAAGTGCTTTCAAATGTGCGTTCATGGTGCGCGTGTTTGTGCGCTGAGGTCAGGTATTCATGCAAAACACAAGTTCGGAAACATCAGTGTGCTTGTTTTTAGCTGTTTCTATGGAATTGAAATTCAGTGCAAACAAACCTGTTTAACATTATATGTCCTTAAGAACTACTGAAGGATTAGAAGTGGCTGCCTCTCTGGTCCTCATCCACCCAGATATAATACTGTATGTTTCCAAGTGTGTCTCAGGACAAATGAGTTTGAAATTGTCCTTCACAGTGCAGTAGATGGGTAATTTCCCATAGCTCTTGAAAAACAATGGAGTACGTCACAGGACATATAAACTCCAAATGGACTTGATTCGTTCCACTGCATTACCTCTGCTGTGTATCAGTAATACATCTTGAAGCATTTTTTTTATCTTGTATCAGCAGCGAGCAAGGCGCAATGTTTACACGCTGTATACTTGTAAATGTCTTTATTCTAACTCATACCTCAGATGTGGCCAAACAGGAAAAAAAAAAAAAGAAAACCCAACTAATTATTCTTGTGCTTTGAGGTGGTGAGTTTTAGAATTTGCTCAAGGTGGTTGAAGATTGAGTTGTTGATGTAATGTTCACAGATAGTGCCCTCAAGTGACAATATCAGACTATTACACCAGTTATACCAGGGGAATCACCATTGCTGCTGGGACCCTTTGAAAAAAAAATTTGCCTTTACATATAAGTTGTTTTTACAGCTGAGGTTTCATGAAAGAGAATCTCAGACTGATTATTTATTTATTTTTTTTACTATTTAGATAAAACAAAAAGTTGAATTTGAATTAAAATAATTCTGTATTTTGTCCTGAGAATTGCAAATGTGAGGCGTCAGTTACATCCGATTTCATTTTCATCCAGCTAAAACCGGCTACTCAGTCGTATTAGAGAGATTATCTCGGTATAGCAAGTCCTCCAGGTACACTATTAGTCATGTTAATAACTTGACGACTCCTGTCAAAGCCCTGTGAGTAATAAGTTCCTTGGATGTTGATGCACTGCTGAGTCCCAACAGGAGAACAGTCAGTGATTTCATAAACTAAAAGAGAGAGAGCATCTTTAAATACAAGCAGCAACCCTGACACACCTCAAAGCACGGTGTGGACGATGAGTCATGACTGAGCGATGAGTCAAATAACGGGAGCAATCCCCCTCAGTGGAACAGTTCTTCGAGTCATACTCATTTCTGCCAGCCAGCCCTGCCTGCTGTCAGTCTGGCTGGGAGCTCCCTCTGCTGGGCTGGAGTATGTGGTGCTGGTGGTGTTTCTGTAGGGCTGCCCTGGCTGTGTGAGGGCGTGTAATCACCGGCCTGTTCAGGATTTTGGACATCTTGTACTTGTGAGGCCGCAGCTGTGCACTGGGTTGGTTCATCTCCACACTGAAAGATAGAGAGCTTTTGTTTAGGTCTACTTGACATAAATGTATCTAAAACTTTGCTAATTTGCACTGTGTTAATTATCAAGCTACAGTTGTATTTTACATCATGCATTGGGAAGAACGCTGTTGTGCTTTTTAAACATTACAAACTGATAAATTACATTTTAATTCATTTTATATTTCATAAAAATTTTATGTTTTGTATTCAATTCTGGGTTTTTTTCCCCCAAAAAATTCAAACAATTTGGAAAGAAGACCTACAGTTAAAGCTACACAAACTACACCTGAAACAGCAACAAAACAGAGTAAAATCTAATATAATCATATACATGTGTGGATAAAAGTAACTTTTTGTAAAGCCATACCATGAGTCCATGAGCCCTTCGCCCAGGGCACTTGCTGGAGGTGGATGGGGTGTGGGTGCAGACTGGGGCAACACAGGCGCTTTGGTCCTCGTCATCTGCTGGACCCTCTGGAGTATGAGGTCTGTGTCTGCGGCAGCTGTACCTGTTCCAGGCTTGCATGCTACTCTGCTGAAATCAGGTGCATTTTCTGAGTTGGCCTGGCTGAGACGAAGCCTGCGTGCACGGATCTGTGATATCGTCCGATTACCAGAAGCTGCAGTGGCACTGAGAGGGGGTGAAGGGAACAGCGGGGTGTCTGGGGACAAGGACAGTCGAGCCATGTCAGGGGATAAGGCTTCTCTGTGATACAGGTCTGAAAACAACAAAAAAAAACAAAAAAGTCATCAACTGAAAGACTTTAGTGTGGACTTTGCACATTACTTGTTATCTGTAATAATCAGTGAGTGCTCACCTGGAGAAAGAGACTCGAAAGAGGAGTCTGGTGAGGCAGCATCTCGGCTGTCGCAGTGTTTCTCCTCTTCAGGTTCTTCAACGCTACTGTCACTCCTCATACCACTAAAGCCTTCTTCTTCATCATCATCTGCCTCTTCTTCTTCTTCTTCATCATCATCATCATGATGAATAGCCAGGATCTGTGGTAACCTTTCTCTCTCTATGGCCTGAAGACGACTGAAAAACAAGGTGGGAAGATCTTTTATTTCATCTGCATAAACTCTGTAGTTGCAGCCAGGTTGACCGCTGATGTGAGGAACAGATTAGCAGACTTGTAAAACCCTAAGTGGATGCAAAGTGTCGAGTATGTAAGAATTTAGTACCTGCGATGCTGCTCCCTCCAAGCTCTGAGCTCAGCAAACACGTTGACGCGCTCTCTGAGATCAGGCTCCTCAAGGTCATACGTGTGTTCTGGTACATGGATGGGCAAGTCCCGGGGGGTGACGGTAGATTTGGTGGGCGCTGTCTGTCAAACAGAAGAGAGGGAGAGTGAACGTGGAGGGTAGGAGGGGAGGTGAAGAAACCTAACAGTGGAATGGAGGCCTATGAGCGGAGTGCATTAATTATGGATAGACAGTTGTTGTTATGGTCAGATGGAGAAGGAGGGGAACGGACTGAACAGGAGGGAAAGGTAAAAGGAAGAAAGGGAGGGACAAAAGCGGGATGTGTATATGCCAGGATAATAATACTCGTGGTTTCGGCAGCAAAAGCCTCATCTGTCAAGTCCCTCTGACACCGTCCTTCACACATCTCTATCACTTGTGTTCTCCCCTCACTGTGCTTATCTTCTCAGGCTTCTGTCCTCCTGCTAATAATTAGCTGCTCCTGTTCATACTGACATGACATTAAAGAGATGAGCTGCTGGTGCCAGACAGCCATAATGGCCTGTCAGAGCCCATAAAGCCTGTTGTTCCTCTCAGCTGCCACTAAAGGAATAAACAGCATACCAGGAAAGGTAGACTGGTATGGATTAATGTGATAACTGATAGAGCGAGATCTTTTTTTCTTCAAACTGCAAAATAGTTTTTAACAGAATTGCAGAAACTTTGCTGCCACTTACCTTCAACTTTTCTCGTCTCGCTCGAATAGCCTGGACTGGATTTCCACAGAACAGAATTTTGCCAGCTCCTTCAAAAATCAACAGATGAAAGGAATTTCAGTGAATCAAAAAATATCAGTGTTGAACAACTCATTTGCGTCCTCATGGTGGCACTGTTGAGTAAAGATTGCTGATGCTGAATTCTGAATGTTTAGCAGTGTATTTATTAGTATTTAGCAGAGCTCAAACACCAGTGTGCCTGACCATGTGTCAGAGCACTGGTTTCCGCTTCCACTGCTGCTAGATCTGAGTCCGCAGAACCAGGTCTGGACCCAGGAGGGGAGAGAACTGCAGGTCTGGTTGCCGACATGGGTCTGGAGCGAGTATGTGGTCTGGAGGCCGCTGATGACATGGGCCAGATGCAGGAGAGGCTGGAAGAAGGACGTCTGGCAGAGCTGGGTCTGCTGTAAGGACACGCACTGTCTGCTGTCTCCTCTACAAAGAAAAAAGTCAGTCGCTCATTAAATATACATCTGTAATTAACTGGACTGCGTTGACTGATTCAGTACAATACATATACATACACACCGTCCATGCCAGCAGCCAGAGAGGAGTTACAATCTCGAATGGAGTTTATGAGAATCTCCAGCTCTTCTCCCTTGGTGGTATGGCAGCTCGGCTTGTCCTCTTCTACCCTTTCACCATCCAGGTAACGCAGCTGAGGGACCAGCTCCCTCACTGCTGTCTGGTAGCTATAGTCTGCCATCTGGGTGGAAGAGAAACAGAAGAGAAAAAGTGAATGTAGAGGACATGCAGCCGTTTTATGAAGCAAAGAAAGGGGACAAAAAAAGGAGCATAGCAAAATTGATGAGCCATTATCTTTGAGTCACATTCAGAAACTGTGACTCAGAGATTCTCTACTTGTTTGGTGTTTGGCATTGTGGCCTTTTGTGTACTGGAAGCCACAACTGCATTATGTACTGCAGTTATTTAGTTATTTATATTTGTGCTGCATTTAATATAAATTTGAAAACCGGACATCTCATATCTGTGCTCACATCTGACCCACTTAATTACGCTTTGACAGACTCCGCAAAACCAGATCAATGCACTAGCAATCTAAATTATATTCCATTATACATAAGTGCATAATACAGGACCCGGATGAAAAAATATATATACTGAATGTACTTTATAGAAGATGTGAGGCGATTCTGAGGTCATAAAAAGTATTGGTTAATACTGCTACCAGTTAAAAAGCAGAATGATGCTAGGTGTGTCAATAGTTACTGGCATCACATTAACAATGTCGCATATTAACTAGCCTTCATAATGTCTTTTCGCATTCGGCTTGAATGAATCTGTGGAGCTTCTGAATAGCACAAAGCAATGCAGGTTAATAACTAGTGCTTTGAACGTCTTGCAGCGATGCCTGGTCTTTAATCAGCACAGAGACAGAGGGAGAGTCCAGTAAATCACAGAGCTACTGAGCGATCAAATTAGAGCTCGGCACTCCTGGTCCTCACCGAACCGCACAGATGCAGTGAAAGAAAAACAGAGTGAGTGGCTGGCAAGGAGGAAACAAAAGAGAAAAGAGGAGGAGAATGAGGTCTAAGTGAGAGGAAGTGAGCGGATGTGTGTGTGTGTGATGGAAAGAGAGAGCAAGAAGAGTGATAGTTTGGCAAGACAGCAAACCCAAGAACCCCTCAGTCACTACAAAGCGCAGGCCTAATGCATATTCAGCTCAGCATCTCCCTTCATTGCCCTAGTTTCCTAATTAATGCTCCGCTGGTGGGTGTAAATAAACACATTCACAGTGGCCCAAAAAACTCGCAGCTCAGTGCGATGGAAATGCAGCTTCTACCACACCGTGTACCCAGCTACACTCTGTACCACTAAACCAGTGGTGAATCACGCACCGGACATTTACATCAAACTAATCGTGCATTGGCAAGTTTTCAGAGAGATCAAATGAGCACTGTAATGTAATAATAAAACATGATCTCTTTGTCATGATGCCTCTCCACAGAAGAGTGTGGCTGTTGTGCTTGATTATTTAGACTCATCCCGCTCTCCCAGAGTCCTCCCCGGCGTGTCGAAGATCCACATACAGAGTGCCGAGATCGTGCTGATATATTTATGTCTCAGCACACACTAATTACATTTTCGTGATTATCTGACAAAGCCATGAGGCCTGACAGCCTGCTAGCGCACAGGAGAGACCGTTGAATGATCAGGACCATTTGTAAGTTCGCTTTTACAACATCAACTGAATACAACACTTCCTTTCCAGGAACCGTGCCCAGCTCCTTGCTCAAGCTTTATTCAGCTCCAACTGTTCTCAGGTTTGTTTTATCTTTGGCCAGACGACTGTCACTCTGAGCGTTGCACCACTTGGTAGTGCTTGCCTCAAGACGCGTTGATCTAGGATTTTAGGCATATTCTACTGTCGGTGCTCAAAGTATGTTAATCTGAGCAAGAGCGTCTGCTAAATGCCGAACACATTAGCTTTAGAACACATTAAAACGCACATCATGTATCCACGCATTAGCATCCTTTCACAATGGCACAATTGCTGATCTGAAATAACTATTGGTCGTATTTGCAGCACAGGTATGACTTTTGTGGCTAATTCTGGATATCACAGATTAAAATACATTCCCACTAGAACAATGCTTACTTGTCAGATATCTGTGTCTGCTGATTCGCAAAGGACAAACAAGGAGTTTGACAAACACAGTCGCATAGGTCTGGCGAAGGAACGGCTAACATTCGGCAATAAACACGATCTTTGTTCACTTCTTTAAGGAGAATCTCTTTTTGTATATGGTGAAAAAAAGCAATTTTTTTTTTCGGTTTTATGCTATTAAGAACATTAACAAAGAATTTTCCTACCTGAGTGGAAGTCGGGTTTGGGTGTAAACACACTGGGTTGCCCTCCAGGGTAAGTATCTGGAGTTTAGGACACAAACCCAGATACTGAACCTGGACGAGGTCATCCACGTCATTCCCTTCCAGATCTAACAGCTGCAGGTTCTCCAGCATACCAATCGGACTCAGTTCTGACACGTAGTTGTAAGCCAAGTACAGCTCCTGAAAACAGGGACAGAAATCATAGACGGGAGAGAGTGGAAGAAAAAACATTAAGATAAATGAAGAGGGGAAGGAAAGACGTGAATGGACAAAATGCATTAAACAGAGAAGTGTATAAAACAGAGGACATGTTGGACACAGGCCACAAAGTCAGAGAGACACATAGGGCATCTTTCCATGTGACAGATACTAACTGGGATCTTATGATCATAAGAATGCTGATTACTAATTAGCATAAATCCCATTGTTACTTAGGAATTGTCACTATTTGCTGTGTAAATGTGTGAATGACAAAGAAATTGGGTCAAAAGTAAGAATGTCTTGATTTTTACATTTTTAACCGTTGAAAAAATCATTTCCACAAACTCTGGCGCCCTTGATTTTTTACCCAAATCACACAACTGAATCTACCTTAAGAGAACACAAAGTCGAAATGCCATCTAGGCATTGCAGGCAGCAGCGAGACATCCACAACACCTGCAGGTGGGAGAGGGTGGTTCCCAGGTCTCTAAGGAGACGAAATAGCACAAACTTGATTTAGAGGCAGGGAAGGGAGTTACACAACACCATGAATCATGGGAAAGGCTATCCATTCTCTTGGCCTTTGAAGCTTGAAGCTCCTCTCTCTCTCCCCCAAAATGCAGTCCTCTCCCTTGTTTCCCACTTGTCTCTACAGCACACCCCAGCTCAGGCCATTCCAGAAGAGTCTCAGCCAGTGTATCTATGACCCTGTAACACCCTCTTCACTACAGCTCCCACAGCCCAGAGCAGGAAATGCTATCAGAGGCAGTGCACGTCCGGCTTGGTCTGCTCTGCTGCTCTCAGGGTGGAGCAGACAGCTCCCTATCTTTCTGTTCCTACTTGTATATCCCTCAGCAGTTTCTCTGGAAGCATTTTTCCACCTGTCCTCTTATAAGGACAGTTTATACAGTGTGTTTGTACATGCGTCTGATTCTGGATGTTTATTGCTTATCTTCTATCCTGTTTTGATGACACAGCTGTGGCGACGATCGGACAGGCAGGACAAACAAGGAGAAACCGTCCTTTTTCCCTGTCTTTTTTTCCAGGGGCTGTCCAAATGGATGAATCTGAAAGCTGATATTCCACAAATCCTTCTGTGTCCTACTGTGAGGCAGGCGGTTGAACCTGTTCTCCACATCTATCTATCTATCTAAGACTGAACTCAACATTACATCTGGCTGGTGTCTGGTTTGCAAGCTGCAACATGCATCTTCCATGTTTACATACTGTACTGCAAGTCACAGTTGGAAAAACTTGGCTGAAGCAGGGCAGAGAACTACACTAACACTGCAACCTACATTTTTAAACATACACATCCCATGATTTCTGACAGGCTGTACTGCCTCAAAGCACCGTATTTCAATGACTTTAGAGACCAATCTGAAGACTAACAGCAGTATTTTCCATCTCTGCTAAGGGTCAAATTACAAATTGCTTGTTTTTGCTTGTTTCTAAACATATATGAATTAAGTCATACTCTGACAAAATGCAAATTCAGTTTTGTAAACCTCTTCTTTTTTTTTTAGTTTTGGCTTTGACTATCTGGCATTTTCAGTTTCTTGAATATATGTAATGTTCCATTAGGTAATTTGCTTTCCAAAAATACAAACTAGGAAGAAAACACAGAGGTGGTATTTGTGTTACGTAACTCACCTCACTGACATAATGATGCTGTTGTTCATTTTGAGCCTCACCAATCTGGGCAAGTAAGCACCTGTAAAGACAAACAGATAAACAAAGCCATTTCTCACTCGTTCATATATCAGTGGTTGGAATTTTTAAATTCACTTACTCAGATGCTTAGCTTCAATTAGTCAAACGGAAGTGCTTATACTGTCAGGGCTATGACTCACACATGTATAGACAATGCTCTGTCTTGCTTGCACTCGTTGTGCAACCTAGGATTCCCTGAGGACAAAGGTGAGCATAGCCAACATTTTCCTCAGTCACCTTGCCCTGGATGGCATACCATGTGTGGATATGTTGTATGCATCTCTATTTTTGTGTTACCTGGTTCTGGTTTGTGAATGTCTGTGGTATCACAACTGTACACAGCATGTTGTCACTCTTTTGGTTTTAAAAATCTGAATTTAAATATAGGATTGACTGAGATTGTGTCCTTGGTCACACAGAAAACAGCAGACATAAATAAAACCAGTGTCAGTGGCAATCAGTAAATTCTAATGAGTGCACATCCATCCATCCATCCATCCATCCATCCATCCATCCATCCATCCATCCATCCATCCATCCATCCATCCATCCATCCATCCATCCATGTTGCACCAACCCACCAGAATAAATTCCTTGTATTTTGTGAACTATACCTGGCAATAAATCTGTTTCTGATTCGGATACTGATGTATACACCACTTAATCCTCACGAGGGTCACGGGGGGGCTGGAGCCTATCCCAGCTGATTTAGGGTGAGGGCAGGGGACACCCTGGACAGGTAACCAGTCTATCACAGGGCTACACTTAGAGACAGACAACCAAACACACTCACATTCACACCTACGGACAATTTAGAATCACCAATTAATGTCAGCATGTTTCTGGATTGTGGGAGGAAGCCGGAGAACCCGGAAAAAAACCCACGCTGCACGGGGAGAACATGCAAACTCCACACAGAAAGATTCCGGGTGTCCTCACCGGGACACGAACCGGCGACCTTCTTGCTGCGAGGCGACGGTGCTAACCACCGATCCACCTTGCAGCCCATGAGTGTATATAAACTTTAAATCTGTGCAAAATGTTTTTTAAATTTTAAGCCATGATACATTTGTAAATGCCTTGGTGTATTGTATATCTTACCAAAGTTACCCAGTGTGTTTTCCTGAGTGTCTACGCAGACCTCCAGTGACGTTACGTGGGAAAGGTCCTGAGTTCCACACAGCGACTTCTGCAGGGGACAGGAATGATCAGTGCACCAGCTGATCGTAATGACACAATAAAGTGGACTGTGTCCTTACCCCACCCAGCTTCATCGTTCAGTAGTTACAGTAGACATGCACCCGTGACTTTGATAAACAAATCATGTCAGGTTTATGATGTGAAATAATTCTGTTTGCCCACCTTACCTTGAAACAGAAAACTGTTTGCCCAGTGTGTGCTTGCTTTTCTCCAGTAAGTGTATCAGGTATAGGAGAGAGTGCTAACAGAATTATTTCACTATAAAACACACATTTTCTGTATTTTGACATGTGCAGCTTTTCCACAACTCTAGCCTGACTTGGAATTAAGCTATACAAATGCATCTACCACCACTGTCACATGTAAAGATGTTAAAATAACAAATGTTTTAAATAACGGAGGATTACTTAAGAGGTTTACTCCAGTATTTACACAAACTACTTGACCCAATAATGCATCACTGGGATGTATTCTGAGGAACCTACCAGGCCATCTGGGGAAAGGTAAAGCTCCACTGCTGTTTCAGAGTCCCTGCAGGTTTTAGTGGAAGGAGTTGGGTTGATGTGGCCTGAACCACTCAGCTCAGTCACCAGAACCCGAGCGGTACCAGGCCGTTGCTCCTGGGGCACAGAACCATGACAGCCACTCATCTCTCGCGGATAACTGAAATGAACAACATGAAAGCGTGTTAACAGCTAATGCTTTGGATACGAGGAAACACTGTAGTAGTAATCTCTAGCAATCTCTAGCTCATCCAGCTAGCGTTATATTAGCTTAAAATGAGTCTAAAATAACCGAGAGAGGGGGGAAAAAAACAACAACAAGAAAAAAACTAACTGCTATGTTTTGATGTTGGCATTAGCTGACGGCTAATTAATGCACAGCTACTCTAAGCTAATTCTTCCAACTGAATATTATATATTTAAGAAGAATTGGTTGTTTTACCTGTCGTAAAGTAGTCCTGTATTAAGACAAAGACACATTTACATACAGACATTTACAGATTGGGAGCTTCTAGGTAAAAGTTTGCTTGACAACCCCTGACTACTTCCTGGATACGGCACTAACAGACCCGTGGCTCCCTGGGATATGTAGTACATGTGTGGCAGTTAGCATTAAATAGAACGCTTTCCGTACAACTCTGAGAAGTTTTTGAGTTTAAAGAGCATTTTGCTTATGGTTTTCCTGTCTCTGCTCATATCAAAAACGAATATTTACATTTCTGTTTCTGCCTGCTGACAGTGAACTGGTGCTGCATTCAAATGCTCGACGTAAACGACACGAAATTGACGAGGTGATTTAATTACATTTTTTTTTTTTTTTTTTTTTTTTTTAAAAGAAAAAAATGTCTTCATCAACGAGCATTTAATTGATGGCTGGTTATGGAAATTACACATTTTATTGCACAGAGCAGCATCAGAATTCAGCCATGTCATATTTCACGTTTTTAATTTATTTTATTTTATTCATTTATTTTGTTGTAAACATGAGTTTAAAAAAGAAAAAATGGGCTAAATGAACTGGAACGCCAAGCTCAAGCAAAGAGGTCAAATGGAAACATACTGCAGAATCTGCAAACGAAAGAAAAAAGTACATATCGTGCTATGACTGATCAGGAACCTTAAGCAATCATGCTGAGGTCATAACCGAAGAAGTATTTCTGAGAATTTAGTGATTGAGCCATGAAATTTCGTCTATTTTACACAATTTGAGCTTTTCGCAGTTAACTAAATATGTGAGTGTAGCTGTTTTTATTAGCATGCTCCACCAAACAGTATGCAGATAACTTTTTTATATTTATAGACCAATTAATTGTAAGTTACGTTAGGTTAATGTGTCATGAAAAGGTGACTTTTTCATTATTTTTAAAGCTCAGAAAATTTTACTGTGATAGCTCAGTGGTTCTCAGTCGGTGGGTTGTTGCAGGGGGACATGTGGTGTCTTGATCTTAGTAGGCATATAATAGAATAGAATAGAATAGAATTGATCCCTTTGGTGGAAACCTCAGGGAAATTGCTGAATGGCAGTTCGGCCTATGGTAGTTTAAAATCTCAGCTTAACTTGACACTTTTCATTATAAAGTACAAAACATTTTTACATTTTTCCTGATGAATAGTTATAAACAACTTCGCTAATGCCTAATAAAGGAGTGTGAAGCAGATAGTGCTGAAAATCTAAGTTATTTTACATTATGTAGCTTTTCTTAGTGGATTAGGGGTTAGGAATCAATAAAGTTGTTCTTATCTTATCTTATCTTATCTTATCTTAACACTTTCGCATAAGGGACACAGAATGTTGTGTCATCCATCCATCCATCCATCCATCCATTATCTATACACCGCTTAACCCTCACCAGGGTCATGGGGGGGTTGGAGTCTATCCCAGCTGACTTAAGGTGAAGGCAGGGGACACCCTGGACAGGTAGCCAGTCTATCACAGGGCTACACTTACACTTACACTCACATTCACATTCCTACGGACAATTTAGAATCACCATTAACCTCAACATAGTTTTGGACTGTGAGAGGAAGTCGGAGAACCCGGAGAGAACCCACGCTGCACGGGAAGATCATGCAAACTCCACACAGAAAGATCCCGGGTGTCCTCACCCGGACACGAACCGGCGACCTTCTTGCTGCGAGGCAACGATGCTAACCACGGATCCATCTTGCAGCCCTGTGTCATTCAGGATAAAGGAAAAAATGAGGAACTAATTCCTAGTTTTTCATTACTAAGTAAGTATGATCACATTTTACAGGGTTATGATTATTAATGCTTTGCAAAGGAATCAGAAACTTTATTATTGCTGAATCTTTGATAACTCCTCTAATGATTTCTAATCAAGAAGCTGAGAATTGAATTTTTTTCCACCAATGTCACTACTTTTAAACTATTGTTAGCTATTATGTGAAGGTGACTTTCTCTGGAGAGGGATCAATAAAGTTTGTCTTATCTTATCTTATCTTATCTTATCTTATCTTATCTTATCTTATCTTATCTTATCTTATCTTTGCTTAGCTTAGCTTATTGCTTTACTTCACACTGATAACTGTATAATCATTAATAACTTCTCTAATGTTTCCTGATAGAGGATTATATAGTTTAAAAAATGTTGATTATTGAAATTTCCCTCCTTGATGCTACTACTTATTGATTGATTGATTTAAAAATGTATTTCGAATATGTAAAGACAAGTACCAAGTAAACAAATAACTAATATTTAATCTATAGAAACATACACTTATATACATATATACATATCCATCCACATACATATAAAACAAAATCATACAGCAACAGAAATATTGCACAATTCTGGACTAGGTCTACATATTTGAAAAGGAGTGAGAAGAAATATATAAACACTTTAATTTAATCCCACCCCTTTTCCATAAATTATTGATTGACAATTTCCAGTTTCCTAAATATATATATATGATATACAGTTTCTGTTTATACATATAAGATACAATGAAAATATACACAATTATGATATCACCAATTTACACATCTATATAAATATACACACACACTATTGTTAGTTATTATGTGAAGATGACTTTCTCTGGAGAGGGATCAATAAAGTTTATCTTATCTAAACACTTCACTTCATACTGATGACTAATTAATCGCTAATAACAAATCTCTAACAATTCCTCATGGAGAACTATATGGCATATAATGATGGAAACTGAACTTTAATCTATTGGTAGCTATCATAACTTGCAATAACATTCAACTGCTGCAACACTGTTACCTACTTAGGTTACTGCTCCATTTTTATTTATTTTTTTTTCCCTTCAGGTGGCCTTGACGGAGCAGTGTCCGTATTTCCGAGCGGCCCTGGAACGCAGCAGTAACATGCATGGTAACCGGGGCGGACCTATGTTTGATAGAGCTGGGCGTGGGCTCCTCCACTCCTCATCCCCTCCGCTGCTCTGTGGAAGCACATTGTTCAACGCGGGCTCATTATACCCAGCACCAATGAATGCCTCGGTGCATTTTTAGTTGCTGAGAATTAAAACACTTTCTGACAGAGACGCGGCGGCGGCGGCGGACACCTGAAGACGGAGGGAGGCAGCGGACCGAGGAACATTTTTGCTTTTGGGTTTTTTTTTATTTTTTATTTTCCCTCCTCCTCTTGATTTACAGCTCGAGAAAGCAACAGAAATTGAAAGATTTTTTTCTCTCTCTTCCTCTCCGGTGGACAAAAACGTCGCTCTAATTAGACCTCTGCTTGTTGTAAGTATGCACTGCACATTCCTGTGTTAGAAATACGTCGGCGGTGTTTTTTCTTCTTCTTCTTCTTTTTTTTTTTTGGTTCAGTATTTTTTTTTTTTGGACCCCGCTGGAGACTGCAGTTGTTAGCTAGCTATCATAACATTTTAATTCGCGCCCGGTTAGCTTCTCCAGGCTCTCCATAATGGGGGCATTGGTTAGAATTAGCGGTTTTGTCTGCACCTTTTTTTTTTCCTATTATTTAATACAATTGTGATTCTTGAGTTCGAAACTTGAAGGGATACCGCGGTGGATTTCCCCCTCCGGTTCGGCTCACTTTGAAAAAAAGAAAGCATTTAAATGGGCATAACTGTAAAGCGGAATTTACTTTCAGTCTCCTGTAAATGTGCAGACAGTTTTTTGTTTTTTTTTTCTCAGTGTGAGGGTTTTGCTGGTGCCGATAGTGGCCGCACAGACAAGTAGGGTGACGCCCCGTCACACTGACTCAAAACTGAATGTATCACTGCGGAAGTGAGATTCCATTACAGGGCATTTATACACAGATGACATGGGATGATTCCTGCTCTGAAGAAAGAAAGAAAAAAATCTCTTCAAACTGTTTTAGTAAGTTGGAAAAGGAAGAAAGATGCCCACTGAAGCATTAATGTGTATTTGGCAAGTAAGGCCATGAGAGCTCCAAGACAAGAGGAGAAACCATTACTCACCCCAAACACACTTGTGACAATTTATTTTATTCAGCTTTCAAAACAGCATTTAAGTTAGTGCAGGACAGGTTTCACTTTTCTGCTTTTTGTTCCCCCCCCCCCCTTTGCATGCATCACACATGGAGATTAACCATATTAATTATCATATAGATGGATGATGTGCATGATGGAGGTCCTGTATCGGCGTCTGTGGAGTCGTGGCGAGAATTTGGCCAGCTGGATAACAGCTGGAGGTAGTCCAGCGATAGAGGTGTGATGTTGATGTGTTGTTCTTTTCTCTGCACAGCTGTAGCCTGGATGCTGCCATGCGGCATGCCAAAATAAGTGTGACTCTTCTTAAAAAAAAAAAAAAACACCAAGATTGCTCAGATGACAGCTTCTCCTGCTGCTTGCTTGCATCTGTAGGGTTTTACTTTTAAGTGATTTTAAGATGGTTAGATTGATGTTGTTTTTGTGCCGTATTTGTTAGGTTAATAATTCTAAATGGGGTTTTTTTTTCCCCGTGGAAAGCTTGGATCTTCTTCTGTCATTGTCTCACAAAAGATTCACTCATTTCTCCAGCTGCCAAAAAAAAAGAACCACTTCTGGGTTTTGGGGTGTTGGGTGTCTGATGACTAGCAGCCCTTTGTGTGGAGGTCAGCTGGACCTTTTCATCTCTGCTGCTGCTGCCTCCACCTTCTCACCCTGACCAACAAGCTAAAAGGATGACCCAGTAAGAAGAAAAGGTCACTGGGATCCCAGTACCGTTGAGTGCATCTTGTTTAAGCTGCACGCAGATGCAGAAACACTTTATATAAATGTTTTTCTAAGGGAGGAAAGGACAGGAGGGATTGTTTATTAGGAGGATTTTCTCTTAAGATTTGAACAAAATGATTCTTTCATTCATGTTTTGGTGGGTTTTTTTCCCGACTGCCAACTGCAGAAGAGAAAGAGTCGACTTTCCAGTGTGGTGTAATCAACTAGATTTGTCCTTGAATTGATAGACTTCATGCGACTTGACTCAAGTTGTTCCTTATTGTGTTTCATTGGCCTCCCAGAGCGCAATAGTGATTCCTCAGCTGCTGGTCAACATTTATGTTTGGATGCTGTTTGGAAGGATGATGTCATTGGAGAGCAGTGGGAGGGTGTGGTGGGTTATCGAGGCTTTAGGATGGGTCTTGGAGTCTCGGTGTTCGACCGTGATACCTCCCTAGAGAGGGTCTCCTTACCATCATTACTCCATTAAAAATCTATTATCTCTGCAGTGGGCTTGTGGCTCTGCCAGTATGGATTCTTTAACCAATTAAGCACTTTAATGGAGAGCAGAATGCATGTTGAGGAGGACGGTCATCCGTGTGCCCTGTGTTGTTGTTTTTTTTTTGCATCATGTGTCTTGAAGTGATTTGCAGGAATCGCCGAAAAAGTAAAGAGTGTTTATTGATTTAATTTGAAAGAGACAAGAACCGGCGAGCGAAAAGGTTGGGTTTGGAGGATCTTCATTATTGATATCTTTATGTATTTTTAAGCTTGTAGGTCGACCCTTCCCTCCTGTGTCTGTTATGCCCTTGGCAGATAGTAAGAGTAGCCCTCTGCCTCCCTCGCCCTCAGCCACTCTCCTCCTACCACCCCTATTGCTGCTCTGTGCTTGCACCCTCCGTAAGCTGTCATGTAAGATTATCCTCTCGGTCCAGGCGAGGCTCTAGGGTTTCAAAACGAACTGTTAATTTCCCAGGCTGGAGGTGGCACGCTATAAATAATCCTAAATGCAAACATGCTGTTTAGTGGTCCTCGATCAAAAAAAGGGGGGAGAGCAGCTCTCGAAAGATTTCGGGGACTTTGGAATAGAACAGGTCACCACTTTGCAGATAACACTGTTGTTGTCTCACAGCGCTAGCAGAGAGGTTGCTCTTTTTTTTCCTTTAGTCAGCTGGTTTGTTGCGACTGCTAATATATTGGCTATTAACATTAGCAACTCTGCTGTAAAATTATTGCTATTCCTAGAAATGTGGAAAAGAAAAACCGACCACTGCATCACCCTATATGTTGTAGATGCATGTGCAAAAGATGAGGCGACTGTACAGGTAAAGCATGCACTAATTACTGCAGAAGAAGAAATTCAGAATTGCAGAATAGAATGTAGAAGAGGATCCTATATGGGCATCTTTGTGCACAGAACAGAAAAACTTATTCAAGAAGTTCTTTTGCGTGGTCCCTATGTGTGGATATAATATGTAAAAAAGACCGATGCAAGCATTGATGCCTGTAACCTCCTGAGGCTGTGTCCTCATCCGTCCCCTCTATCCGCACAAAGACCAGCTCGGCATGAAACCCCTCCTGACAACAAGTGGCTCTGGGGACACGACAGTCTCTCTATCAATGATTAATTTTGCTATTCATCTCCATATGTAAGTGTGGATTATTAATCAGCTGCTGACATGGCCTAGTTTGAGAGAAGATGGCACGGCTGTCTGCTTCCCTTCCTCCCGTCTCCCAGTAGCGGGCGCGGGTGTGTTGAATTAGCATTTTAGACTGTGTTTGGCAGGTGTACACTTGAGATCTGGTTGTGTCGAAGAAACGCGGTTACCAACCGTGTTACAATCTGCAGGGCTGCGTGTCTGAATGTGATAGATGTCGGTCTCTCTTTTGATTTTTTTTGTCCTACATTCGACTGTGCATCACTGGCATAAACAATATGGAAAAATCATCTATTTGTGATTTATGTTTTGCTGCGTATTGATCGGTATTAATTATTAAAGGTGCTCTTTGTGCATATTAGTGCATGTCCGTCATCATGCATATTTATTTTTTGCCGTGACGGACGAGTGTGGCAGCAGCCACTCATATATGACTAATGCTTTGATAGGATGTGTATATGCTGTTGTGAAATCTGATTAACGTGTCAGCATTAGTAATATGACAGACAGGCTGATTGTGGAAAATGTAAGGCCAGCTGATTAAGGGTAAGGTTAGGAATTGGGTTGTGGTGTTGGCGTAGCATAGGGGTCGATGTTTATGGTTGTTTTAGGGCCAATATGGATTATAAATAATGAAGGAGACCCCAAACTGATATTTGGAACCAATGTACATCTTCATTTTAAATTTTTCACTGAAGTGCCGTAGTTTGAAAAAAAAATGTTTTATGTATGTGTAATTATAAGAGAACTTTTCAACATTTGTCCTTAGGATATTATGCATAACCAATCAGACAGAGCTGTGAGCGTGGAAACAGCTTTTTAAAATGATTTACTTTATCGGGAATCGATTTTTAAAAAGAGACACCAGTCATGGGAAAAATGCTAAATGTGAGATCCAATAATTAGCCATGCCGATTATCAATTGACTCCTAGTGCGCTTGGAGATTTAATCGGAGGGTTACAGGAGGATTAAGGGAAGAAAAATGGACAGTGGACTTTGATTTGAACTGAATTGATCTCACAACTTGCCGTGTACTCCGTGTCTGTCAGTTACATAATCGGCTAAACATTAAGCTTTACTTTTTGGTACCTGTTGAAGCTAATAATGAAGAAAAGTTGCCCCTTTGAAATACAGCTAAACCAATACTCTGAAGCTGAATATAGCTATTTTAAAATGGGAGGAAAATAAAGCAGTGACAGTTTATTTTGGGGTTTTTTTTATAAGTCACTGCTTTATCTGTGCTAAAGACTCTCAGAACAATGAATTAATCAGAATATAACTTGACTGACAATGAAAATAATTGTAGGTTGAGACATGATGGCACACCTGTTTTAGAGAATTGGAGAAAAAAAATTTAATCTGCTGCCTGTAATCCAAATGACCAGTTTGTAGTTTAACATTTAGTTTTGTGTCCACGGTGCTTTCTGTTAACTTTTCCAGTAAAATATTGCTTCGTCGACGTGTTATGACGTCCACGTCCTGTCTTTGAGCTCGCTGCCCTCGGTGACACAAGATATTCCAGTGTCTGTCTGCCCTGCACAAGTCTCTCTTTTTCGCACAGCTGCTGTTTATTTGGTTAGAGGAGGCTCTGAGGAGCTAGGCTGGCTCTGCAGCTCCACCACAGTCTCTGTACTCCAGCCAGGGCGAGCTGCACTGTGTACCAGGTTGATTTATTTACAGTGAGGGAAAGGGAAGCTAAATGTTTGGCCACGAGATTGAGGGGTCAGTATAATTCCCTTCCTGTTGTGCTTCAGAGTTATAGCAGTGAGGGTGTTTTTACAAGGAGGTCATTGTTGATACTGGTGATGGTGCTCAGAGCTACCTGTTCCATTAGGGCGAGCGGTGGCTTATGGGATCAGGGATGTGATGCAGCAGCAGCATGTGTGTGTGTGTGTGGCTCTGTAATTGAATGAGAACAGCTAAATGGCCGTGTCTTCAGTTAGCAAGTCTACTTTTCTGTCAATCATTAACATCATTCCAGTCCAGGCTAATCTTAGTCTGCCCTCACAGCACAGTCACACACAGCTCAGACACAAATAACACAAACAGGCTTTTTTACAGAGGTGGGGGCATGCTGATTCTATTAATACAGCACCGCACCCAGAGAGGCAAATTTAGGACGATGTCTTATTTGTCACTCCCCAAGACTGAGTTAACTTTATAAGTTTAGTTTTCTTCTGACGCTGTGTGCCGTCGTTTTTTTATTAAAACTGTCCAGAGAGGCTGTGTTTTTTGTCACCTGTTAAGCTTCTTTTTCTACAAGCCAAGTTTAAGATTCACTCCAGCTGTGTGTGCTCCTCTGGGACTTAAAGCACCAGAGAGAGGGTGTGTGTGTTTTCTACTCTTACTGACTGAAGCACTGATGTTCAGCACTCTCTAGTGAGCCAGGAGTTTGTGTAACAGATAAAACATGGAGTGTATTTTACATTCGAGATGACATTTGCTTCCCTAAGTGAGGTAGAACAACACACGTGACCTGTGATGCTCGTGAAATCCTGCCGGATTGATTACACACCGTAGCAGCTGGTGCAGGTTAATGATTTTCTTCTTAAAAGGAACATTCGGCAAAGCGAGAAACGGTTGGAGAGCGCGCTGAGATGTTTAACTCCATGTGGCCGTCTTTTACTCTTAACAGCCTCATCTGGACGGTGACACATGAGGAAACTTTTGAGGAAGAGAAATTTAAAGCTGCACTGAGTGTTGGGGTGGGGCAGATTTGCATAACAGTGTTATGGCATAATACGCTTCTGATGCCGTTACTGTAAGTTCATACTGAAAGTAGCGGTGGTGCCGTTCAGCTAAATTCAACGCAGTGTGTCATTATGGCAACTGAGGCAGGGTTACTTAAAGGTACGTCTGTTTTTGGCATTTCTGTTGTTTTTTATTTCAAACTTGTCTCTTTAAATGCCATAAAAACATCTCCTGGAGAGTTTTTGGTCGGTACTGTCAAACAAAAAGTGAAACTAAGCTGCCAGTTAGAGCTGTTGCATCCAAACAGGTACAGGAATTCTCGGTTATTTTCCCCTGCGGTCTGTCATTAGCGATGACATCGGTATGATGACATCACCTGACCACTCATTATCTGTATGATGTCAATCTGACACTGTAACCACAGGAGATTTCTACGGTTGCTATGGGCCTCCAGCAGACTGTACTTGTGGTTAGCCTCAGATTTGTACTTGATTTGCTCTTGCAAAATCTTCGTGATGGATTCGTTTCTTTCCAACCGTGACTCATTATGGTTCTACTGGGCTGGTATCGGGTCATCTTCAGGTCAAAGGTTTGGTAACTTTGTGGTAAATTTTCAGTACGCTGAGTCATCCTTCACTCAGAACATAGTGGAAACACCCATACGAGTGCTTTCTCTGCCCATTACGGCTGGAATTTCACTGGCCAGCAGTGCTGTTGTCGGGGTGACATCAGGGGATCTGTGTGTATCTTTGTCTCGGCTTGTGTCTGCGCGCGGATGTACGCCGCCGTACATGCGCGGCTCTAGCTGACTCGACAGTTAATGCTGTAATAGCGGAATAGACACAAACTTTTCTGCAAATTTCCCATGTTTGTTGAGCGTGCCTGGATTCGTTGTCCTGCTTCACTGCCAACTGCCGCATGTCTGCTTTATCCATCAGCTCTGCTGCTGTCTGTTACACGTCCAAAAGAAATGTCTTTTAAGCTGAACAAATGTCTGATCATTTGGATTATCAAGCACAATTTTGCACATCTATCAATCACAATAAAACGTTTCATTTTAGTTTGTCAGTCGTTATTGATCATGTTTATTAGGGACCTGGGGAAAATATTTTGGTTTTATTTCATTGTAACCGCTTTACTTCAAATTTAGTCAATTTCTCAAGGTAGTCTGGTAGTCATTTTAATGTTAAGACAATGACGAAAAACACACACAAATAAATAAATGTACACACCTAATTTTAAAAAAAGGTAATCATGAAGGATTGACCTCTCCTTGATGCACCTGAAATAAAGAAATCAAACCTCTTCGGGGGAGGTGTTGTGGGACATGGGCTTGTTTTAGATTTAAAACCTTATCTCGTCAGGTCAAGCACCAGGCCCTGCCAGTCGCAGACCTCTCCTGGTGGGGAGGGAGGGAGATCTAGTTTGAAGTGTTTTTTTGAAATTTACCTGTCAAGGTTACTGCGGCTTTAGTTTTTGGATGTCATTTGTTAGTGGATGGGTGCAATGTAGACTTGAACAATTAATAGATTTCAAATCCAAATTGCACTTTGTTTTATTTTATTACTTTATTTAACATGATTGCAGAATGTGCAAGCTCGTGAGCAATACATAATATACCTAGTATTTTAGTGTCGGGCATTGTTAAATTGGAATTATTTTATTTTCTGTAATTGTTCTATTTTTTCTGACATTTAAAAAACTGTTGTTGTTTTACATTTTCAAGTTCTCCTCTTTATATTGCGACATGGAGCAATTTTTGGTTGTGTCGTCAAATCACAATATCTGTTTAAAATTAGATGTTGTTCCCAAAACCTTCAGCCCCAGTGTGTGACAGGAGGCCCAGGCCGCCGTGGACTAGCACCCCTCGGGAGACGTGCATTAAAGCCACAGGGAGAGCGACGCAGGGCGTGGGGGCTCCATTATCCAGCAATATGATACGCTGTTTGTGAGCCGGGGAGGGAGGACGCTTTGTTCATACAGACAGACTTTTTGTGTATAATGCATTTTTAAGTGGAACTATCAAACATCAAACCGTGTCATTATTGCTACTGATGAAGCGTCTGTCACCGGTACACATCGCTGCTGTTTGATTATCCACACCTAGTTCCAGTTGTACTGTAAAATGTATCTGACTTACTTTGTCTACTGGGATGTCAAACACAAACTAAACCTATAAATTCCTGTAAAGGTAGTGTTTACCTTTGTTGTGTAAGTTTTAGCAAACAGAAAATGGATATCACTTATGTTTTCCTCAGGAGACTGATGTGTTTCTTTCATAACATGCCTTGATTTATGATCGACGCGGCCCCGCTACTTCGACTAGACCCATTAAGCATGTTTAGTGAGTCCATAGGGGGCGACTGTAAGGAACACCTGGAGTCATAAAGTCCTCTTTTAGGCCTCTCCTTCTGGTGCTGTGGATTGATCCCTTTAGAAGAACTAAGGTGAACCAGCACGAAACAGCTCACAGCAGCAGAGCTTTGCTCAGCAAACTGTGATTTATCTCGTTGTCCAGAGGGGAAATTGGTTCAGATCCTGATTAACTTTTTACGATCAGTGTTTTTTTTTTTGTGATGTGGGCTTTTTTTTTTAAATATGTTTTATTAGAATTGACAGTTTTGGCTCTGGCATGTGTCGCCGTCGGTTCAGAGGTCGACATTAGCAGCGTAAAGCCTGAGTGATGAGGATCTGTCTGCCAGTGTCATGCCCCTCCTGTTTCTCTCTCTCGCTGCCTCCCCAGCTTTCCCTCTCATGCACACACTCTCTGCTGCTCACACCGAGCGGTAGAGGATTGGAACATTGAGTACCTTCAGCACATTTTTCACATTCCCCTTTGAGGGTCTCAACCTCAGCCCCCACTGAACACACACACACACACACACTACAACACACACAAACCACTAATGTTTCTCACCAATGGGCAGTAATGGTATTGTTGTGTGTTTTGCAAAGACTGTGGACTGCATCATGGCAGTCTAGTGGCAGAGGATAGCTTGTCAAAACTCTGCCTGTCTGTGCTTTATGCTGCTTTTTTGTTTGTTTTGTCAGTGTACTAACCTGCACCTTTTTTCCTTTCTTTCAGCAGCAGTGTGTGTCGGTGAGCAGCAGCGGCAAAGATGACGGAGTACAAGCTGGTGGTAGTGGGAGCTGGAGGCGTGGGCAAGAGTGCACTCACCATCCAGCTCATCCAGAACCACTTTGTGGACGAATATGACCCCACTATAGAGGTATGACTCTCCTCCTCTTATGTATCCCTGTGGGAGTCGTCTCGGAGGTCGGGGCGGGTGGGAAGGTGGTAAAGGGTTGATCATATTGTCAGAAATAAATTCTTTCCCCTTGAGTTGTTGTGTGGTTGTACTATTTATGCTTTTAAATGCAGTCTCCGCACAATTAATCAACCGCTTTCATATAAATGTCCGAGCGCACAGTCGCTGCTGGAAGCGATATTTTGTGGACCCGACTGAGACGACAGCTCAGGCTAAACCAAGTTATTTTAATTTAATTAATTGAATGCCGTGGCAATCCTCCAACGGTCAAACTTGGAAGAAATTCCTAATTTTGCTTTAAGAATAAACATTTACTCCACCCTTTTTTTTTTTTCCAGAATCCTCATATTTTCACGAGCATAGGACGCTGCATACATTGCACAGAGAAGCCAATGAGAATGTTGTCTCCCCTCTTTTCTCTCTTTTCCTCCCTCTCTGTCTCCACTCTCTCCCTCTCTTTCTCACCACGCCTGCCTCTGGCCAGACAATGTCCTTTTTGTGTATTTGCATTCCTGGCCCCTATGCTCTAACAAACAAAGGGACAGCACTCCATGTTTTTGTGACTGCATGTTGGAAGGCTAAACATTGGCTCTGATACCCCCGATGCTTCTCTGATCTATTGATTTTCATTTGACCTGAAAATAGACAGGGCGCTAATAGCAGATATAAGTTAATACTCTGTCAATCTGCATCACGTACAGTATCTGCGTCTACGTGCTGCTTAGCCCTGGACGTGGCATCATCGGCGATGGTCCACGAGTTGCCTCAAATCCCACCAGCTCACCTGTTTTGTGGCACATTTTTACAGATATCTAAAAGTTTCTCCCCCTTTTTTTTGGTCTGCAGGACTCCTACAGGAAGCAAGTGGTTATCGACGGAGAGACCTGCCTGCTGGACATCCTGGACACTGCAGGTCAAGAGGAGTACAGCGCCATGAGGGATCAGTACATGAGGACAGGGGAGGGCTTTTTGTGTGTCTTCGCCATCAACAACACCAAGTCTTTTGAGGACATTCACCAGTACAGGTGTGTTGTTGCAGATGTTCAGTTGACGGCCGCATCACAGAGACCAGTTGCAAAATCATTTCTGTTAGTTTTAGCTCCTCTGCATGTGCATTTGTATATGCAGTGTGTGTTACAGAGACTCCCGTGGGGTGTGGAGGGGAGAGGGGTGTTGTATACGTGTGTGTGTGTGTGTGTGTGTGTGTGTGTGTGTGTGTGCCAGCTCTCTGCAGTAGTTGGGTGATGTCATGCTGTAGCGTTTAACACGGCTAAAGAAAGCTTAGCCCCCAACTGGAGGCTTACAGCACGATGCCAATGAAATCGATCCTGACTCAATTAGAGGAGCAGGGAGAGGTAGTGCTCCCAAGGACAGGGAAGGAGAAAGGGAGGGTAGGAAACAAGGGAGGAGGGGAGGAGAGAGAGTTTCAGCTGGAGATGACAGTGCTCGCTCTCTCTCCCTCTCTCTTTGCCACATTTCGTCTTTCTCATCTCATTAGACACTCGCTTGCCAGTCTTGCATGTGGCAAGCGAAAGAGGCTACACATTAGCTGCCACCTCTTCTGCAGTTTTGCAGGGTTGCTGAGTGTGTCGCGCACACATTGGTTTGGCGCGCTTCCACTGCAACCCAGCCTTTTTTGGCGTGGCTCGGACGCGACTGCTGTTAAACCATTGTGCAACTCGTGAAAGCATGCGCGAACCTTTGGCTCGGTGCTAGAATAGGTGGTGGCCTGGTGAAGTTGCCGAGTTATTTAAAGATCTGTTTTCTGTTTTTTTCCGGGCAAAGATGCTCAGTGTGTTTTTTTTAAACACATCTCTCCCACTGTTGTCACCTATTAGCGCTACATGACATAGCAGTGTTATGTACCAAAACCATTGACAAGATTCGAGGGGCTTTTGGTGTTCACTCTCATTTCCAACGTGTCTGTTAAAATTCTGCTTTGCCAGCAAATAACAGTGGTCAGAACAGGGTAAGATGTCTGCTGTGACATGGAAACTTAGCAAGTGTGGTCATAAACCCCATTAGCAGTGCTGACTGCAGACGGGCTGACTGTAGTGGATCCATCCTGCTGTATAGTGGCTGACTGGGAAGACGGGCTGAGCTGATAGAGTGATCTGACCCACTCCTCTCACTCAGTTCCCCCCTGGCTGTCTGGCGTTTGGCACTTGCTGCTGTAGTGATGAGGTAATGCTGTTTGCCGCTAGCCTGTTGTCCATCCCTCCCCCTCCCGCTCTACCTCCCCCCCACCCACCCACCTCCCTCCTTCAGCAGTGCAGCACAGCCCAGCACCGGCAGGCCCCGGCTCTTCCTCTGGGTCCTAGAGTTCCCTGGGTGGTTGGTTTTTCCAGTGGTGTTGTTTATGAAGCTAGAAGGAGCCCAGACGAGAGACATGTCGCTGCGGCTGAATGCAGTGATTTGACTGGCCAAAAGTTTTGTCAATTAAATGTCAACTAATGTGTTCTTCTTGTCTTCTTGCCGTTCACAGAGAACAGATAAAACGTGTGAAGGACTCGGATGATGTTCCCATGGTGCTTGTGGGGAACAAATGTGACCTCCCAGCGCGCACGGTGGACACAAGGCAAGCCCAGGAACTAGCTCGCTCCTATGGAATCCCTTACATTGAAACCTCTGCCAAAACACGACAGGTACGTAGTGAACAGGAAGCACACACACCAACACGCTGTGCTTGCGTTTCCTTTGAAAAAACCTTTTTTCTTTTTTCTCTCCCTCTTTCTCTGGTGTTTGTATTTACCATTATCCTATTTTTTTCTGATCCTTGCAAGCCACAAAACTCTGATTCTATGCAACATTTAAGTCCTCTTACGCTGCATCATAATATTATCCACAAGTTATGGGAGCACTCTAATTTGGGCTCTGTAGTTCTACATTTTGCAAGCATATTCATGCACCTAAAGTGCAGTGCATGGCCTGCGGTATGATGTGATTTGTGTTGCTGGGAACATTTTATGCTGCAGGCAATGACTCATAGCCAGGTTACCTTGGCTTGAGAACAGAACTACAGTATTTGAAAGGCCTCATAAGGACTAGTCGCTGCATAGCTCCCACTGTCTGTGACTCACTGTCGCACATTATGTAGGTACACAGAGACTCGCGGTAATCGTTGAACCTGCAGAATGTCTGTCACTCAAAATGAATCAAGATTTAAGAGACGACTTCTTTTTAGTCATCCAGATTTTTTTTGATTAACAGTGCCTGGAATTATCAGGGTTGCCATGGTAATGTTGCCAAATGGCAGAGTACACCTGAGAGGTTTGCTGTTGGTTATAAGAGGTGCATTCAGGGTACTCCACTAATAAGTGACCGACGTAAGTGCCCAGATTTTTCTGTAACCTGTCTGTGTGTTTGTGTGTTGACAGGGAGTAGAGGACGCCTTCTACACACTGGTTAGGGAGATCAGACAGCATAAGCTGAGGAAGCTGAATCCACCCGATGACAGCGGTCAGGACTGTATGAGCTGTCGCTGTGTGGTATCGTGATGCAGGTGAGCAAAAACATAACCACGAAACCAGAGGCTACCAGCAAATTAGTTGGCTTTGCTAAAACATAAATTTTCATCTGCATATGAAGGCCTGTTGTAAGAATAAACAACTGTGAAATAAATTCAGTTTAAAACTTTAATTGAACTTTGTTTTACAAGCAACAATAAAAAGGTGCTAACATCTGTCCCATCTCTTGTTATGTGATTTCCCAGCTCACCAGTACACGTTGAGGAGAAATGAAACAGCACGAAGTGGCAGCATGGACTTGAAGACAGAAAGAATAAACAACTCAATGATGAAATATAAACTTTTTCAAAAAGAAGATGATTGAAGCAAAATCTCTCAAGGAAACCACCGGGGCTGATTGAACCATAGACTTTTATGGAATGGAGGATTTTGGACTGTTGCCTGAGTGGCTAGCTGAACTAGCCTGGTCCGGTCCCTTCTTTTTTGTTGGTCCACATTGACCTGTGAGCAACACCACTAATGACTCTTTGTCAACTCCAGTGTGGTCTCACTGGGTAGCTCCACAATATTCCTGCTAACTTATTGTTTTCAGTCTCAACACTGGTCGTAAAGGGGGTGTCTGTCACTTCCTCCCACCTTGAAAGCCTAATTCCACTCCCCCTGCCTACCCGCTGGAAGGACTGACTGATTTTAAATGGAAAGGACTGGAATGGACACCCTTCACATAAATAACCCGCCTTCCCCCTTCACTCTACCTGCCTTTGAGTCCCTTTGAATGGCTATGTAGTACCTTGGTTATACTGGATGCAGGGGGTGGAGGCTGACATGGGAAAGACTGTAATATTTTTTTGTTGTTTAACAAATTAGCCTAGCTGTAAAAAAAAGTTTTGATTTTGTTTTTTAATATGAAACATTTTTTGTGATTGGAAGATTTGAAAGTCACTGAGCACTAAAAGTGAACAAGGGTGCTGCTTTCAGACGGCACCTGGTTTGACATTTTTATTGACCTGCCTGAGGTAGTTCCTTTTTTTTTGGAGTAGGTATCTTGAATGGAGAATATATAGATAGATGGGTTTCCAGAATGCAGCTGCCTTCTCTCTTTACATATGTTTCATTGCGAGTTGTCTTTGTGGAATAATAATAGTAATGGCTAGTGTACGTAGATTCTGGTGCAATAGAATTCTTTACTTTCCAAATTACACAAAGTATTGGGAATAAACCATCTTCCACGACTACCTATTTTTCTGTTTTGCTTTGGTTTAAGAAGGAGAGGTACAGTGCATGAAGATGTAGATGTTGTCATCTTTGCAGTAAGCAAGAAGAGGTCACCTGTAGAACGGGACGAACACAACCACACTTGTACAGTTGCGCAGTGACGGATTGACAGAACGACGGCCAGTTGATTTTTTTCCTCGCGTTTCTTTTCAGTGACTGTATGGTGTACAACTGTTGTTTACTACATGGTGATTTTTTTTAGATTGCTAGAATCGCTCCTCGTGGACAGTAAGGCTCAGGAATCGGGGTCCAGGAAGGTCTCATCTAACAGTCCTGGAAACCAGGGTAAGGGATGTCGCGAGCTAGCTTTGCAAGAGTGTAACGCACAAGTCCTGCCTCAGAGTTGAACTTCAGTTTCTCCACACACCATACTATCCTCAAACCGCTCCTCTTCCTCTGCCACCCTCTCAGCTCTTTCAGATGAACAATAACAAGTCAGGTGCTAGTCATGTCAGAACCATAGTTACTGTAAAATGTGGGACTCTTGTGTGTAACAGGTGACGGATAGCGAGTTATGGGAGTGCTTTGCTTGGTTTCTTAACACGGACGGGCTTGTGCTCTCCATAACTGTATTAATTTGCTGCCTAAATAAAAGACTGATTTGAGTTTACTTCGCCTTATCTGTCAACTAGTTTGTACCTCATTTACGCAGCAAAGGTCTACTCGATACGATTACCTATTCTGTTTGCTGTACTGTTTGTTTATGTTTGAATATGTGTGCAACAAAAAAGAAAAGAAATATACAAGTGTGTTGACTTTAGATATGCGCTGTACAGAGTTTAAAGTCCCTACAGACACGATTTTGACTTTTCCTGTGACAGCATGTGCGTCTGAATAGGATCAGTTTAACGTCACTGGAGAAACAAGAAAAAATAGAAAAGTCCAGTATAAGCCAAGTTTTAAAAAACATGATGTTTCAGGCTGATTGCATTGGAATATGTCGCATTAGTCGCTCAGCGTTGTTGCATTTAGGGCAAGTTATCCAGAGATTGTACTCGCTCATTGATTCGGCTGGTGACGCATTTAGTTCTAGACACTACAGGCAGGTTTTGGTGACACGCTTCAAACCTCAGACGTCTCTCTCGGTGAAATGTTGTCTCCTTTCAACCGTTTTATTTCTGATTTTGTACAGACTCTTTCTTTCCTCACTCATGCCATAGCCTACAGAAACATGACCAGTCTGTGTGGATGATGGTGGTGGAGTTGTTTATCAGTTACCTGTTTATTTCCCCGCTCGGAGGAATAATATGAACTGTGAATGTGTTTGAGTCCTTAGATATTGTTTGAAAGAATCCTTGTGTTTTAAAAAAAAAAAAAGGTTTTATTATTGAAATAATTCAGGGGATGATCCTTGGCTCCGCTTTTGGCTGTGTTTTTATCCCCCCCCCACTTTTTATTTTTCACCCATTGTACTCAAACATTTTAATGAGGAAAAACAAAAAAAGCAAAAGGAGTTTGTAACATGTAATTACAGTCCCGATGGTATGCTTGTCCTCTCCCTGTCGATCTTCAAACAGTACCAACCATGATAATAATACCATAGAATTCCTCTGATCTATGCATTCGAATTCCCACCGCATTAGAATATCAGCATCATGTTGTCGCAATACTCAGCCAGCAAAACCACCAGTATACGTGTCAGAAAACCTGGCGAGCATGACAAAGACTGTAAGGGACCATTGGGGGTTTTGCACAAGGATACAGTGGGCACAAGGGCTCGTTTCTCCCCTTGCAAACTGTGGGATGGAGGTGTGGAAGGAATTTTGTGAAAATGTCAACTGTTTAGCTATTTAAGATGTATTTACTCTTTGAAAAATGTGGCAAATGTATTGCAGGACAGGAATAAAGATGTCAAGATGAAGCCTTGTTGTCTCGTTGTCCTCAACTATCCAAGCTTTCTCTCTTGAATTTGAGATTTGCTTCCACCTACAGGCTGTTTCGTGTATCGTGCGTGAGACTGTATCCGGGACAGAAGTACTTCCTTCAAGAAAAAAACACACACCTACGTGATTGTTTTCCAGCAGCTATAAACAGTTGAACTACATAAACCCTATTGGGAAACACTTTGTATTTTGCCGTCTTGCTTGGCCGATAATGTGCAACATCATGCAGTTTACACAGCAAGCGTGAGGCGTGCCGAAGGTTCAAAGGACAGTCATAAAGGCTGTGTTTACACTCGAGTTTTACCATTAACGGTGTCATTTACATAGTTTTAGGTCACGCAGGGGAACAGGACAGCTTTTATTCCAATAGACTTAACAAAAACATTGAACATTAACAATGATGCCTTCATGGATAAACTGTTTTTAAAGTTAATATGTTCATAGGAAATTGGTGTCTTGGCATCAAGTTGATTTAATAGATGGCTTTAAAGAGGGTGTTTTGGTCACTTCCAGCAACTGAAGAGGAAGACGGAAATAAGCAACACTGTGTAGTACTGTGAGAATATTACTAATTTGAAATACATGAATAAAATATTGACGCTAGCTGTGATGATAATGGAAAGAAACCAGTTCCTAGTAATTTATCATAAGGCACTGTAAGTTTGTATTTCCAAAACAGAGCATTTGCAAAGTCTTTGCATATTGTTACTGCTGGTAATGATGTTATTTATAGTATTATCATAAAGCAACCCACTGGAGTTGCTGACTTTACTGTGGTTACAGGCCACTATAAAAAAATCATTAGCACTTTGCAAATGTTGAGCAAAAGTGCTCAACAGATGTGAATGAGAGTGAGAAAAGCACTTCATGTACACCAAAACATCATCAGGTGACCTCTGATATCAATCCTGACCCAAGAAACGAGGTGTTTTTCTGTTTGTTTCATCCGTGTAGCCTAGTTTTTGCTTTTTATGGCAGGCGATTTGCATATGTGTGAGGCGGTCCTCTTCCTGGTTTCCAAGGGTTATAAAAGATAGAAGGCTCCACAACAGCTAAGACAGACAGAAAGTTTAGCGTTGGTCGGTGTTGTTGATCGAAAAAGCGTTATTTTCTTTTTAGAAAAAAACTCTCATCATGTTTGTCAGTAAGGATACACTTGCGAAGATGCTTCCGAAGGTAAGAATAATTATCAGTGATTGAGTGTTTCTGTCCTCACTGGATCAAACATCGACAACAATTAACACAGACGTTGGTGGTTGAATTTTTATGCTAAAATTTTTTCGCTGTTTAATTTTTTGTGTTTTTTGTGTGCTTTGAAGACGTATGATCGCAAGCATGTGGCTCGCGACATGTTCGTCGCATTAACTTACTTCAAAAACCTCGTGCCCATGATGGATAAATTTGGTAAGGGTCAATATAACTCAGAAATTTCCCTTGAAATTGTTCAGCATATTAAAAATTTCCACCACTGTTAATGACAATTGTTGTATTTTGTGCAGTTTACAATGACGGAAGGAAAAAGAACTTGATGAGTCTAAACGGAACTATTTCTGTCATGATTGGAGGTAAAAAAAAAAAAAAAAAAAAGGAGTTTATGTTTTGCACTGTGTTAAACAGATTCTGATCATTTCAAATACAAATGAATAAGTATGCAAGGCGAACCAAAGAATGCCTCTGAATATTTTCCCCGTCAGACAAAACCTACAACATCCCCGTGTGTTTATGGATTGAGGAAAACTACCCCCAAACTGCTCCCATCTGCTATGTCAAACCTACGCGTGAGATGATGGTCGTCAGAAGAGATTTCATCTCCAGCAACGGTGAAGTCCTGCTGCCTTACCTGGAACAGTGGAAAAAGGTGAGAAATAAAACAGCATTTTGCATATTTTGACAGAGCTGCATGTGGGTTAGGGACTGATGAATCTAGCACTCACGTGTACAGCACGGTTTGGTTTATAGCTTTGGTCCGACTTTATCTCTGCCCTATTAGGATGAGTGCGACCTTGTGAGCCTGCTGCAGGTGATGGCTGCCATGTTTGGAGAGGCTCCTCCTCTGTGTATGCGACCTCATCCAGAGCCCGAACCAGCCTCATGTAAGTAACGCAAGTAGAAAACAAACCTCCATGTTGTTTCGTAACAAACATCTCTGCCCTGGATGATTGCTGATATTGATAAGACTCATAACTGGAACACACCTGAGTGTAAATCAAAGGTCATCTCTCATAAATGAAGAGTTGACAATGAAATGCATTTTTCTTTTCAATGTGTTTTAAATGTTTGTCATTAAATTAAATATATGTTTGTTTTTTTAGGTGGGCTGCAGTTCCACAGACAAACAGAAGTGTTTTATAACACAGATGGAAGTTCGTATTTCCCACTAGCCAGAGAAGATAATGATCCTTTCCAGCAAGAAAATGAAAGCCATTGTTAGTTGTTTGTGTACGTTGATGATAATTTCTGTAAAAAAATGTTTGTGTGTTACTTTTTTTAAATCCTGTGTACAGTGTCAGATGGTATCCATTGAATATACAGTTCATTAACAATTTTTCAAATGATTTAGACAGAAAATATGAAGCAGTGCTAAATGAAATCTTGTCTGTTGTGTTTGGTGAGTGTATTGTGGAGCGTTTTGCACTTTAGAAAAAGAAAATAAAATCAAATGCTGCTTCAGTTTGCAAAGCCTGTGTGTTAACAGACTTCATTGCTGTTCTTTAATTGCATCCAAAGGCCAATGTTGTGCTCCAATCGAAAAGAAGCTGGACTTTTAACCACACAAGACATATACAGGAATGTTATATAAGACTGCAGCTTTTAAACTTTAAACACAGCAGAAATTCAAATGAATCTTTAGTTCTGGATACTTAAAACAGCCATAGTTACAAGGTTAATCATTAGTGTAAGCCAGTTACTTTGCTTCTTGATATTGAATTGCCTCTTGCTTTGTTTGGTTTTTTGTGATGTCTGTAGTTAAAGGTTTCAATATAGATGCACAAGCTAAAGCCTGGACTGCTTGTGAAAACTACTGGCTCACCTATCAATGTAAATAAAAGCCATATTAAACCCATCTCTGTTTATTATTGCGGAAATGTCTCGTGCCATTTTTTTCTTTAACCAACTAGTTTCATAATAAATGTGTTTGCTTTGTTCTATGCAACGGAATACTGAGATGTGTGACTGGTAAGATTTAGAGAGATTTAGAAAATGCTTTTGTATTTTCTCTAATTTTTCTACTTTTAGGTGCATAAAAGTCAGCGGTGCGACAACTGGACTGTGCTTATTTATCTCCACTTTAAAAGCCTTGCCTTGATTAAAGCCTCAATTAATTACACTTAAAAGCTTACTGTAAGCGTATTATAAGCTATTTCTGCCCCTTTCTACCCTGTAGCCACCTCATCAGTTAAGTTCTTGGAAAATGACCCTATACTTTCTGTGAATATTCAGTTAAAAAGCAGACATATCATATCAGATATCATGCCTTTCAGAATAATGTTTATCGACATAACTGTCAGTGACATGAAGGGAAATCAGATCTAGCCTACAGCACGAGTCAGTTTAATATCAGTTCAACTCATTATGCATCACTGGCATGAAAAGTAGGTTAACAACAGACTGATTAACACAAGTAGGAGCGGCGGTGTTATCAACAATGAGGTGAGAAAAACAAAGAGACAAAAACACATTGCATTAAGTGGAAGACAATGAATAAAATGATAAATAAAGAACAAATGAATGACAAAAAAGAAGCAGTAAATATGTGGCGTTTGCATGTGTGTCATGTTTTAATGAAGAATTTCTCAGCTTGTGGCATGAAGTCATACCAGCTTTGTATGTTGCAACTAAGTTCTGCTTTCCATTGTAGTCTAGTTCTATGAAATTTGGGATTAGAGAGTCAAACATTTTGAAGTATTCCTGTCATAGGATTTCAGAGAAAGTGCACCTCTGTCCACTCAGCTATCATACAGTGTCCACAGACTCTACTGCCAGTCTCTGGTCACTCTGAGCCTGTATTTGGTCAAAATCTAGTCTTGAAGGTTTATTAGACCCCACACGTCACGATCATAGCAGACAACTAACAAGATAAGTGGAATATTGTGGTTGAAATTTTACTAGCTATGTTTGTTTGTAAAGAAAAAAAAACTTCTAATTGTCTAAAATTCTCTATATGCTGTTTACATGCAGTCACTGAAAACACAAAATCACAGGAAGAGTCACTTATCCCAATAGATTCTATACTGCATAGTGTTTTTATGCCAATGTAAAGGAAATAGAAAACACTGAACTTAGATATAAAATAAACGATTACATAGTTGTTTTTCTTCCTCAGACCCCTGAAGGGAACACTACCAGCGGCTGGACCACACCTGAGAACCACAGACGTGTACGTACGAGTTTACGTCACACGCAGGGCGGAAGTAGTCAGGGGGATTAGCGGAAGTTCCTTTTGTTGACCATAGGATATTTGTTTTCGGCCTCTCATTAGAACCACGTATTTGCTCTATTTGTCTTGTTTCTATTCCTTATTAATTTGTGGAATTTTTGGTGCTACGTCAACGGAGGAATAACTCACACTGAACCGGAGAGTTTCATATAGAAACCGAACCACTGTCTCGACTGTAGTCGGCCCGAGGCTGGGCTAACGTTAGCCTAGCATCCGCTGAAGTCCTGCTAGCTAGCGTTAGCTTGTGTTAGCTGTCACTCGAGCTGTCTTAAAAGTCAGCTGTTCTCTCACTTTGCTCATTTATAAGAACGGTTGAAAGACAGACGCGAAAAACATGGCAGTTGTCAACGAAGGCGCCCTGAAGAAAATGCTCAAGGTAACTATGCTGCTTCATTATTGTGGTACTTGCTGGCCAGAAGTAGCAAGTTAGCTAATGTTACCGATACCAAACATGACACAGTCAGCTAGCGAGCTGACAGGTTTACATTTCCTGGTATGGATTATTTGCAGTAAACTGCCAGTTTTTTGACGAATGTGGTGCATTAAACCTTTGATTTTGGTTAACTAATGTGCTGTATGTGTATATGTCTATATGTATTTGCTGAGATACCTCGTATAAATCTTTTGAGTAACACTTTACAACCTAGCTTAGCCACTTAGCTAACGTCACTACATAATTACTTTAAAGTGTTTATTTTGTCAATGAGATACCTATAGACATGTGTCACGATGCCCAGTTTTGATTTATAGTTTTTTTTAAGTGTTTGTTTTTATGGTCCCACATGGTAATAGGCTGTTAAATTGTCTTCGAAATTACTTTGTATTGTTGCCATCTTTATGAAGAAACTGCAGCTTTGTTTAGTATATCTCAGTTGCTTAAATAAAAATAACGTATATTTTATATATATGAGATTGAAGGTCCCAATTTATGCTGAAATTACTAGTTTTATGAAGGCCTAATCCTTTTTTTATCATGCAAAACAGGGGATACCATACACATAACTTAAGAGTGTGATTTACAGATGAAGCATTGCAATTTGTGTGGTACACAACTAATAACTACCAATAATGCAGCACTTTTAAACATTCAAAACAAGTTTCTCTCAGTATCTGTACAGTGTCATAATGACAACTGATAATAACCCAGATTTAGATGCAAGTGTGAGTCAAACCTCAGAAAATCTATCTGGGAGGGATCTGGCACGTTCAACCCATAGTTTTGCCTTTAATAGTGAACCAACATTTCCCATTCAAACCACAAACTCTATCTATAAGCACATTAATGTGTCTTACCAGACTGTAAGTAAATAGCTGTTAAGTATGACAAATAGCAAAAGCACTACTTATGCAAAACTATACTGATATGTTCTGTCAGATAATGTGTCACCTTTAGAAAGTGACTGTCTGCGTGTCAACAGTTGTGTCTGAACCTGAAATGTTCCAACATAATGTCTATTTCCGTTTCTCTTCTCCAGCAATACAAATACAGAGATTTGACTGTTCGTGAGATAACCAATGTCATCTCCCAGTACAAGGACTTGAAACCAGTTATGGATGCTTATGGTAAATTAAATGATACTGATCTACTCCTTTTGACAGTCAGGTATCCGTTAGTTGTTGTTGTACGCTCATGTGACAGAATGCATCTTCTTGTATTTCAGTGTTTAATGATGGCTCCACCAGAGACCTGATGAGCTTGACAGGGACTGTCCCTGTGAGCTACAGAGGTAAAGATTATATCTCTTTCTTACTCTTTGAAATATATTACACATTGTTCTTTCATTGAAACTGAAAGGCTGAGCATAGATAGTTTGGTGCAAGTTTCCTGTTAAATTTGTTTATTTGCTCACAAGCTCTTTCTCTCTTGTGTGTTTACTCTGACTTTTTTTTATTGATATTTCACTTTGTAAAACACATTAGTCATCTGAACGCTCACATAGAGAAGCAAATGCTGTTTTGTGCAATGAAAACATCTTGTCTTACTATTAAGACAAGGTTGCAGGATTTTAAATGTTTGTCTGATGTTCATAGTTCATCACACTTGATGTACATTTCATAGAGATGTCCCCAGTGTTCTTGAAACTATTTTTAGAGGATGCCTCAAAATAACAAATAGTTTGTTGAGTGTGAAGGGAGCACTGATAAAATTGTTGGGATTTTAAAATGAGTCATGCGATAACGTTGTGTGTGTGTTTCCTTTAGGCAACGTCTACAACATCCCAGTGTGTTTGTGGTTGCTGGACACGTATCCCTACAACCCTCCTATATGCTTCGTCAAACCTACCAGTGCCATGATGATCAAAACGGGCAAGCACATTGACGCCAATGGCAAGATCTACCTGCCTTATCTGCACGAGTGGAAGCATGTAAGTTGAATGTATACGATGTCTGTGTTGTGGGGGAGAAAGATGGTGTCCACAGACTAACATAAAGCTCCCAAAAAGTGATTGATTTGACAAAAGCACAACATTTCCACGTGTGGACATTCTTCTGTCCTTTTTGTCTTTCAACTACTCGTTAGCACAAAATTGAACACTCGTAAAGACCACAAAAGAAACCGTGACTGAAAATACCGTTTGATCTCTGACTTGCCTGATGATATCGTGTATTTGCCGGATCGGTTAATAAAACCTGTGCTTCACTTTGTGTCTTGCAGCCTCAGTCCGACTTGTATGGTCTAATTCAGGTAATGATTGTTGTGTTTGGAGAGGAACCCCCTGTGTTTTCTCGCCCCACCACACAAGCCCCCTACCAATCCTTTCAAGCAGCGGGACCCCCCAATCGTGAGTGTATTTTTCTTGTGAACAGATGTAATCGAATGTGGTTTGAAAGTTTTAGAAGTACAGGGTGATTGTTTTTATGCTAAGTGGTCTCGTGCTAGTATGAAGAATTTAGGTACTGTATAAAAAACTAATTTTATTAAAATGCAAAGCTGTAAAAGAGTTTGAAGCTACTGCACAATACTGCTGCAAAATGAGGCCTTCAAAATCATCAGCAGCTGGAGTGGTCACCTTTAACAGACAGCGATGGCATATGGAAGTGAAGCGTTTTCTGATGTTGGTGATTCTTCCTCAAATTGATCTTTTTTAAATGCAAGATTTGCCGAAATAGGAACAGAATTTTGTAGGTCTTTGTTACAGATAAACAAAGCAAACATTTTCAGATATTTCCAACTGAACAGAGATTACACCAACACAAGTATGGGAGGTTTTGATTAGATTGTTGTGAACTGTGTTGTATTTTAGACTTAATATTTTAATATTGCAATGAAAAAAAGCAGAGTCACGCACAACGTCCTGCGCGTACATTTACTGGTTAATTAATTGAGGGTTTTAATTTAACTGAGGGTTTTCTTTTTTTTTACATTGGAAGATGTGCCTGTTTTCTGAAGTTTCATTTTGGAAAAAACTTCGTCTTTGTGTTAGATTATGTAGAAATAGTTCTGTTTGTTTTGTTTCTTTTAAATTGAAAAATCTGTTCCATCTCATTCATCCAAGTCCTGAGTAAAATCAGTATTCCATCATGTGGGTGTCCGCCGTGTTATTACGTTAGAGAACAGATTTAGACTGGAGCTTTAGACTGTTTCATGTCAAAGTGTCCAGAATCCTTTCAGTTTGTTATCTCAGCTGAAAGTTTATATTTCTACTGATGTGCACATATGAGTGCAAATTCCTTGTCGCTGCATCAAGTCTTAAGTGATGCATTTTTTTCACTTCAGCACCAGGTGGAGCTCACATATCAGTGCAGCACACCTTTGAAACTGAAACTAAATCTGTCTCTGTGAGCTAGAAAGAAACTTTTGACCTTTTGCCCTCGAGTCTGACTGTTTCGCCATCTCTCTCTGCCTCAGCGTCGTACATGCCTGGTATGCCTGCAGTCTCCCCCTATGGCCCAAATCCTAACTCTGGGTAAGGTGTTTGCAAAGCAGTTCTCAGACTTCTACCCCATCTACCACACCTATAGACAAACAGCTTCCAGCATGTTTATTTTTTATTTTTTTTAGCAATACATCTTAAACAAGCATATTTATTTCTGAAACTCTGCACAGTTAGTTCTTTTTAAGTTAAAGATAGGTGCTTGACAGCGTAACATATAAAGCATTGCCTTGTTGATTATGTAACTCCTTTCAGAGGCTACCCAGGTTACCAGTACCCAGGGGGAAACTCTTACCCAGCCACTGCTGGACCTGCACACTACCCCACCCAGACTCCAGTGTCCACAGTGGGTATGTATTACACCCGGCTGCTTCAGTTTTCTTCTCACAGCTACATTTAAAAGTTGAATTTAGCACAGTTTCCAAAGTTTTTAACAAATGGCACAAGCACACTGAAATACATTTCTGTTCACTCAGAAACTGAGATTGACTGCACCTCTCCATGTTCGTCTCTTTTTTTGTGTTAATGTTATAATATGGTGTTTAAACTTTTAGCCAAAGTTTACTTCAGCTCGGATTAAACAATAACTTTTCATGGTCTTTAGTTAGCCCTGAATGAAGACAGTTGACCTTTTGACTCAAACTCTCTCACCCTCTGGAGTGACTTCAGTGGCGCGCAGAGCCACCAGTGAAAGGTCATTAGTGTAACTGAAGTGGGGGGTATTAAAGGCCAAAGGGTAGGATGGACCTCAAAGGAATGTATAGATGACCCATCTGCTCTTGCTGCATGAATTAGCAGCAGTGAAATACTGGTCAGATACAAGCAGGCGGGCAGGAAGGGCTTTAGTTGACTCCTATATTTAGTAAAGGAGAAGAAACGGGTTTGCCTGTGAGCTGAATCAACTCTGACATTTTGGGTGGCGGGTTTCAGACTGCTCATAAGGTGGCCTTGACTCTTAAGACATCTCTCAGTAGGTTTACACTTGTATAACCTGGAATTAGGTTTTTTACTGTACGTAGGAACACAATATTAGAAAAATCTGAAACACTAACAGAGCTTCAATAAAATTCATGACAAAAATGTACTAATATAAAACGTTTCTCTGTGTGTTTGTTTTATGAAAAAAGTCTCTTGATATATAGACGTAGCTCTACATTGTTGCTTCTCTCCTCACTCATGGCAGCTTGAGCTCAGTACGGCTCTGCTCCAACTCTGTAAAACTCCTCTACGTTAACATTTTACAATATTACGTAATACAATAAAAAAAAAAGCACCATTAAATACGGCCGTAAAGTTTAGAAAAACTGCGTTGACTGCAAAGTTCTTCTATTGGGCTGCATCTTTACAGTCTTAAGGGGCTTTCGTTTTTTAGTAACTGAGCATAAAATTGTGCTTTGTCACCTTGATGCTATTAAAGCCAGAAGATAAATGACTGAAAATGATTATAGATGGGTGACAAACCAGAGGAGAAACCTGAAGGCACAAAAGCTTCCATATGGAACATGAGGGTCAGTGAATGATTTCACTGTAAACATGATGTGAATCATTTGCTGCACCATTCACGATTAACCAGCTGAACACGGTTGTAGGATTTTGGGTAATTTCCACTTAACATAGCGGGAGAAAATAGAATAATGAAAAATGGTTTTGATCCCTCTTGAGTTCCAGAGACACAGACAATCGGTGGCCACTTTACCAATAACTCCTCATGTCGTGTGTGGTGTTTTGTTTGGGTTTTTTTTTTTTTGTTACCCATCTGTACATATGTAGGCCTTGGTGCCAGATTTCTTTGTGCTGATTTTTTACATTAATTTCAGTTCGCTGTGACTCTCCCAAACCTGATCTTTTTCAGCATGTCCACTATGCCATAAATTCAGTGGCTTGTCAGGAGGTGCATGTTAGTACATGAGATGCATTCCATTCCTGTGCAAATATGCATGACGATAGATAAAGAAAGTGTGCGGGTGCATGTTGAATAAGTCTATTCTGACATGTAGACACATATTCTAAAGATGGTCAGCTAATTCTTTGTTGTGGGTGTACAGTATTGTCCAACACAGAAACATTATACCTTGCTTAGGGCTAGATATTGTTTGAATGTTGAATGCTTTCTGCCAGCTGTTATCTTCTGTTTCAGTTCACTGTCTCACGTTACCAAACACATAATCTCTTCCTCTTTAGGCCCAAACAGAGATGGTACTATTGGCGAGGACACCATTCGTGCATCTCTGATTTCAGCAGTGAGCGACAAGCTTCGCTGGAGGATGAAGGAGGAGATGGACAGAGCTCAGGCAGAGCTGGATGCCCTGAAGCGAACAGAGGAGGACCTAAAGAAAGGACATCAGAAACTGGAGGAGATGGTCTCAAGACTGGACCAGGAAGTGGTGAGACACCCTCGTCTTTTCAGTGCTAAATCTTCGTTTTTTTTAAACATCCTCCACTGATATCTTGTGTCTTTTTCATGATTTTTCCACCAGACTGAAGTTGACAGGAACATTGAGCTGCTGAAGAGAAAGGACGAGGAGCTGAGTGAGGCCCTTGAGAAAATGGAGAACCAGTCAGAGAACAATGATATCGATGACGTCATTGTGCCCACAGCTCCGCTGTACAAACAGATCCTGAACCTTTATGCTGAAGAAAATGCAATTGAGGACACAATCTTCTATCTGGGAGAAGCCCTCCGCAGAGGCGTCATAGACCTGGAAGTTTTCCTCAAGGTAACCACATTACATGGTAGCAAATGCATCAAAGATACAATCATACAAATGCTGAAGTCCTCTGTGGTTTCTCCGTGTTGATCCTCGTTCCCTTCTGTTACAGCACGTACGTCTTCTGTCCAGGAAGCAGTTCCAGCTTCGTGCTCTCATGCAGAAAGCCCGCAAGACTGCCGGTCTGAGCGACCTCTACTGACACATTGACTACCTGGAAACATTCATATCTTTACGCTCTCTTACTCTCTTCTCTTCCTCCCGTTGTTTTATTCTCTGTTTCATGTTTCCCTGTAAATCAACGAGCTACTCATTCTAAAATTCTAAAAATCATTTGTCATGAGACAGAAATCTGAACAGCAGCCACAGAGACGGAATACGTTTATGCATAATTGTAAGATGTCAAACTGTGGCCACAGTTGTAGTATGACGCCATTTGTGTTTTGATTCTATCAGGTCATTCTGCAGTAGCAAACATGACCCAGACATGACATTGTTCCTTTTGTGCCCCAGTATTCTCTAAATACCACTGTCGCCACTGTGAATCAGGTACTGTGGTTGGCAAGAAAACCTGCTCAACACACATGCCATACTGGTGAAGATCAGGTGCAAGCCTGCTGTGTGTACAGTGTATGTGACTTTTGCCCAGAGTGTTTGTGCTGTAACTGGGCTGGCGTACAGCGAGTTTGTGTGTCGACCTGTGTACAGTATGCTGCACTGCAGGGCCGCCCACAGGTTCGATTAGTAATCCCTTTCACCAGACAAAGTCATTTGGCTAGTAAGCACAAATGCATGGGCTAGGAGAGAGGGGCTTTGTGCAGAGCCCCGTATGTCCACGCCATTCATTATGAAAAGAGTTGGCCCTGGTGTAAAAACCCAGAGCAACTTTTCAGGAAGGACAGGTTCAGCCTCAGGATTTATGCTGTGAGTTCTAGGTCAGGTTCAGTAGCCATGGAGTCGAAGGGATCGCTTTTTATACAGTAGAAGTGACGAAAAACATGAACCTGAACTGTCTTGTTTGGGTCACTTACCGAGCTGAAATGAGAGCTCTTATGCCTCGTGCCCACAACACTACACGTTTCCCCTTTTTTTTTCGTGTCTCGTTGTGAGTCAGGTTTGTGTGTCAGCTGCTCAGGTCTACCCTCCAGTCTGACTGCATTAACCAGTCAATCATGTACAGTGGTTGTTGGACTCTGTACAAAGTTTTTAAAAAAAAAGCTTTGTGAGTTGGATGGCAGCCTTGGCATACTTACTTCTAAGGTATTACAGAAGAAATTCTCTGTTGTTCTTTTTTGTTTACTTCTCTTTTATTTCCTTGTGCTGTCCACTTATTCTCAGTCCTCCTGAGAAGTTTAGGTTTTCAGTAAAAGTAAAGTAAAGGTTGTGAATAAAGCCGAGTGTTGGAGGGTACAGAAACAAAAACTATTGTACTAATCAGAAAGTTAACTTATGTAAAGTTTGGTCTCTTTTAAATTAGCCTTTTACTAAATGCACTTTGAATTGTATGATAGGATATCTACTGTTATTTTTTTTTTTCTTGTTTTCAGTTCAACCATAGACCACCTGTTCTTTTATATCTGTAGATTTATGTAAATCAGTACAAATAAAGGAAATCTGATTTAATGGCTCATTTCTTCATGATATTTTCATTCGTTTTTTGATGTAGTTTTCATTAATGTTTAAATCTCAGGGAAAATATACCAACAGTATTCTCTTTGTTGCTCATATCTGCTGCATAAATGTGTAAACCAGCTGTAACAAACAGCATTTTAGAATCCAGTGGTTTCTAAACCAAACGCATAAAGATCCTTTTGTCAACAGGTGAACGTTGGTGTAAATGACCCGTAGCTGTGCACGACGAGTCAACAGCTCTGCAAACACAAAAAGAACCGAGGACAAACTTGTGTCATTATCCTGGCAGATTTATTTGATGTTACAGCAAATAAAAATCAACATCCAGCTGCCATGACGGCACGGTTCCTCAGAAAGTCAGTGAATGACTGATAAATCCCATCCTGTCTTATGTTGTAACAATAATACATAAATAGATCTCGAGGTTATAAATAACAGAATAGTTCCTTCTTTAGTTTTCCAGTGTCAGGTGGAGTAAAATAAATACAAATCTTTTCGAGGGCATTTAGGACACAGACAACATTCTGTTATAACCCATGACCTGATTGTGATCCTGGCTGACTCTTCCCCACTGGCTCTCTGTTGTTACTCTTTTCGAGTTGAATTTTTTTGCTGGCAACCCTTTTTATTTCTCTTTGACGTAAACTTTGCTACTTATTTTTTTTTTATAATTATAAATCTCTCTTTTTAGTTTCTCTGTCAGTGCACTTGTGGTTCGGTTTGTTTAAAAAGGCTTTAACGCCAGGCAGTAGACGTATCATTGCACTACTCAAATGATAAGGTACTTTGGTATCACAGGATGGTGGCCCGGTGATATTATGCAGGAGTGTTGTTCTGACTGCGGGTGGACAGGAAGCCCTCCTCATAGAGAATGGAATGTCTCTATTATACTCCAAATATTAAAATAAACAGAGTTAACCACGTGGAAAAAAAAAACAACAAAGCTACTGGTAACAAACACACAATAAATATAAACTATGACCAAGGAGTGTACAGAGGAAGCAGCAACAGCACACAGTGACGTACGAGTAACATACAGTACGGAGGATATATGCTCAACATGTGAAGGCCTTATGCTTCTTGTATAGAGAGGACAGTGAACAGATACGTCCTTTCTCCAACACAGGCTGACATCAAAGGCTACAGTTGCACGATTTTGGAGAATTCAGTCATGAGGGGACAATAGCAGGAGGGACATGGCAAAGGAAAACAACACCACTGTGTGAGCTTGGATCGGTTTCGCTACAAGCACTTGGCCTTTTTTTTTACGATATTCAGAGGTCTGATTCGCCCATTGCCGTGAGGGAGACACGGGAGGTACGGAGTGAGGGAGTCCACCGCACAGCGTTGGGGAGGACTGGGTGGGTTCAGAGGAGAGCTCTTCACAGGGTCAGCTCCTTCTGTACGCCCCACAGGGTCTCGGCGCTCTTCACCAGCTGCTTCTCCTCGTCGGCCTTCAGTGTCATGTGAATGACGTCCGTCAGGCCGCTGTTGCCGAGGACGCAAGGGATGCTCAGGAAGACCTCATCCTTCACACCATGCATGCCCTACGAAGAAGACTGGACGCAGTTAGCCGCTCATCTACACAGTGTTTATGAAGCATTTGTGAGGCAGTGTGAGTTGTACGTCTTGCTCACCTGGACCAGTGTGGACACTGGGTGCACTTTGTGGAGGTTCTTCATGATGCTTTCCACGAGGTCAGCCACAGACATACCGATGGCCCAGGAAGTGTAGCCCTTCAGCTTGATAACCTCGTAGGCGCTGCAGTGCACACACAGGATAATACAGTGAGTCAGTTGCTGTTTTCCTTTTAATATCTCTCATCCTCTTTCCATGCTGAGAATTCAGCTGTTTATCAGCGACGCGAGGCCCGCGTGTTGGCATCCAATGATGCTTTGTAGAGGAAGTGTATCATTCTCATTCGGAGATCCCAGCTGTGCCGAGCCCGATGTTTGCATGCAGAGAGTTGCACATAAATAAATGTGGTCCATGTGAGTGAGCTGACTGAACTGAAGGAGAGGCACCATCACTGTCCATTGTTAAAACCCGTCTGAAAACTCATTTTTATGCCCTTTTTATGACCCAGCATAAGACTCCTGTTTAACTGTTTTATTGTTTTTTATTGTTTTTACTGTTCTTATTGTCCTTTATAATGATTTTATTACATTTTTATTGTATTTTGCGTTTTACATGTTTTAAATTGTTTTATATTTTGTGTTCAGCACTTTGTTTCGACTTTTGTTGTGTTAAAGTGCTTTACAAATAAAGTTGGGTTGAAGGTAGTTCACCATTATCTCAAATCCATTTCTAAATCCATACATATGCTTTGCAGTTTCATAGCTATGCCTTAGATATAATGGATCATATGAACAGCTCTTCCTGTTGGTCAAGGTCTCTTGACTACTGGTCACGCATATGGAGAATGCTCTCTTCCCTGTTAAAACATCTTTATTACACATTTACCTCTCATCTTTGTCCCCATTGTGAAATATTTTATTACACACCTGATATCTTTACAAACATTTTCATGAAATCAACTACTGTCTGGTACATGACTGACCTCCGTTTTGACCCAGTTTTATAAGATAAGTCAGGTTGATTGACAATAAAATGATGTTGCAATAGCTGCATCATTTTCTAGGGCAAACTTTGGCATTGTGTAAAAAAAAAAAGGCACTCCACCTTGACAATGCAAAATCCAATGCTGATCATGAAAATGTCATAATAGATAATCATTGATATAAAAGAAACATTTCTTTGATCAGGGTTTGAGTTACTCATTTACTAAGAAAGACTCAGGGGTCCAAGTGTGGTCATGCCTTTTGGTACGACAGTGTTCTTTCACTGGGAACACTACAGCAACTGTATAAATGATGTATGAGTTTCTCTGCTTGAACTGGCTGCCAGGCTTGAGAGAAACTTTAACACAGTGGTGTTAACAGTTAACAGTAGCACACACAGCACTGTGTGTCCATCTCTGCTTGCCTTTTGGCTCACATCCCTGGTCAAATTCTTCAGGAGATTGTAGGCAGCTCCATTGGATTCAGTTGTTCCTATTGTCTTTATATTAACCCTTTAACCCTCAGGGGATATCGAGGACATTTTTGTCCTCTAATATCCTCAAAGGTAGTTTATTAAAGCATCCCCTGAGGGTTAAGCAATAAGCTATTTAAAAAAAAAGTTCCAACATTTGGTTAAAAACAGCTGCAGCTAAACAGCCAAAATAAACAACAACCTTGTCATCAGGCCAGAGGGAGATTTGAAAAACTCCAGAAAAAAAACAGATTTTTACTTCAGCCTAAAAAAACTATAAACAGCAGCATTATAGGAATAAATTAGTAAAAACTGATGTCATTAAACCCATTATAAAAAATTGCAACTTCAACTATAGTCAATTTCATTCAGCAGAAATGAAGCACAACAAATGCTCCATCCATTTTTGTCACCGTAGTACCAGGCGGCCTCTTCAGTGAATGTGCCACGCTTGACAACCTTTGAAAAATGTGTTCCATTATGGCCCGTCCCAGTACAGGGATCTCCAGGGTGAGAGGGGTTATAGGTAACTGTGGCTGTAGGCCATTAAAACCTAAAGATCCGTTTCAGTGAAACATCATATCGCTCCCACCAGAGCGCCGGGCAGATGGCCTGTGTGCACGCTGCCGAGTGCTTTGCAGGTTTGAATGTGTGAGCGTGAGGAAGACAAATGTTGTTTGCAGGAGACTTATGCATGAGTCCTTTCAGGTTGTTTATGAATGACTGGTAAAATAAACTGTACTCACCCAGCAACCACCAGCTTATGGACCTCCTTCCAGTTCTCACTGTCACCCTCACCGCCCATCTGTGGGTTGAGGCCCTGGAGAGAAACTCCAGCAACATTCACGCCGCTCCACACGGGCACTGTGAGAGACAGACAGGATGTACAACAGTGATGAATTAGTAAATGATGCAGCTGCTGATTTTTAAAAGGACCAGTTACAGAGCGACAAAAAGGGTAAAGTGGAAGCTAAAGCAGAGATCGTATTTTTAGTCAGAGCTGCATACCACTGGAGTCTCCATGCTCTCCGACGATCCAGCCGTGGCAGCTGGAAGGGTGGAGGTGGAGCTTCTCTCCCATGATGTGGCGGAAACGGGCAGAGTCCAAGTTGGTGCCAGAGCCGATGACACGGTGACGGGGGAAACCGCTCAGCTTCCAGGCCACATAGGTCAGGATGTCGACTGGGAGGGAGCAGGAGAAAGGAGAAAGATCGGCCGTTAATCAGCACCGAGCAGGTGGTAACATTTGAGGAGATTACATAATTACTACGATACCCTTCGGCTCTATTTCAAGCCACACCACACGCCCTCTTCTCACATTTGCAGAGCGTCTCTCTCTCACCTGGGTTAGACACGACCAGCAGGATGCAGTTGGGGCTGTACTTGACGATGTTGGGGATGATGAACTTGAAGATGTTGACGTTGCGCTGCACCAGATTCAGACGGCTCTCGCCCTCCTGCTGGCGGGCACCGGCAGTCACCACCACCACCTTGGAGTTGGCTGTCACGCTGTAGTCTGACAAAGTGAGCAAAGAGAGTGTTCTGATGCGGCTACAGGATGCACAGTTTAAATAAGGATTATGCAGCAAGGGGCAAGAGTCCTGCCAGAATGAAGACAAATGTTTGAAAAGTTATTTTTTGTGCATTCTCACCTTTGTCGGCCACAATCTTGTGCGTCTTGAGGAAGAGGGAACCGTGCTGCAGGTCCATGGCCTCACCCTTCAACTTGTCCTCCATCACATCAACCAGGGCCAGCTCATCACACAAGTCCTGATCATACACAGATACACAATTCTGTCAACCCACTAAACACTTTATGTTGTGTATTCTACAGCAAACCTATTATGTGGATAGAGTTACAGTGGGGCCTAGTCAGAGGGGCTGACCTACGTGTTACCTCCACTGGACAGTAATCCATCTAGGACTTGTTTATTTAGCAGCATTGTTAGTTTTCAGAGCGTGACGTGGGGCTTCTTCGCCTCTATTGTTCTTCCTCAAACTGTTGAGTCTGGAACAGGCTGATATAAGGGGAAATGCACAGTTTCCTGGCTTGCTTTCTACAAGATAGACTCTTTAGTCAGCACAGCCTCAAAGTCTATTTCGCTGCAGCACTTAGAGGTTTCTCAGCAGAATCCGCTCCGTAACTCCTCATTGTTCCATTTAAAATCCCAGCAGCGATGCTCTCGATTCACACTCAAGCATGAACTTGAACATCTGCGCGGCAGAAGGGTTCGTCTAAAACCAGTTTTACTCACCTTGAGCAGCACGCTGACGGCGGAGGCCATGCCCACCATGCCAACACCCACCACCGTCACCTTGCTCCTGCTGCCAACAGGCTCCTCCTTCATCACATGGCTGATGAGTTTATCCTTGGTGGCCATCTGTGGAAAGGAAAAAACACACGAAGAAGGGAGTGAAACAACTGTAAAAAATGTGGAGGACAAGCAGTAAATGGGGGAGGAATGAGGAGAGAGAATGGAAAAAGTAAATCAATGAGGCACAGGGTATAAAAAAAGGGAAGAGAGAGGGGGGGAAATGCAGTAATGCAAGTCTGCATCATTTGGCAAGTTAGAGGCAGAACTGCACAAGAATGTACGTGACTGATTTCACATGTCACAGTGACTGAGTCAAACTTGGGTTTCACTATTAGTTCATCACCAACCACAGAGATGAAAGGGTGCCATTTTCATTACCACAACCCTTTACGGTCAGAGACAGGTTAACGCAGTCTCTTTAAATCTCCATGGCAACCACTGCCTGGGAAAGCACTGCAGCCCGCGTAGCATCCCCCCCCGCTGATGTCACACGCTGCTATTTATACTTCCTGGTTGTGCGGGCATGGCCGAGGGCTCGCGTTTTGCAGACGTTTACATCACCAGCGTGACGAGGCCGGCTCTCCACTGTGATGTGAAGAGGAGCACGTAGAGGAGCACTTGATAGGATTAATATATTGTAAAACCTCCTGGAGAGGATACTTAAGACCTCTCCACGGTGAGTTTGCACACAATAGTGGGATATGGTAAGTGGGACAGCTATACCTAAAAATCCTATTATCCAATCATCTCTCCCTCAGAGGTGAGCTGTGACCTTACTACACGCCAGAACCTGACCCCGAGGAGAGCCGGGCTCGCTCTCGTTCGCTTACAGTGCAGGATTATTGTATAGAGTACAAAAGTCTTTACTGGTGACATACAAAAAAAAAAAATCATCAAACTTACTTCCTTGGCTGAATGAGGATTACAAGAAAGATTATTAGTAGCTGAAAGAACTTAATGCGATAGTTATGGAAAAAGAGAGAGGCAGACGGATGTTTTGTGTCAGGCTTTGGATTATGTGAATTTCTGGGACTTAAAGGAAGCAGCTGCTACACACTACTGAACTGTGTGCCGGCTTGGATTGTCATATTTCCATTATGTCTACCTAATTCGATTAGCAACCGGTCATTAAGGGTTTACTGAGCCCTGGTTGGGTATCATGTATCACAGTTGGGATTCAGCATCTTTTTGTGCCCTGCAGGAAAGATTTTTTTATCTACATTTCATTCACCAAATGTGACCAGACCATCTGTAGCTGCCGACACCTGGCACATGAACCCACAACTCTGTGAGCTGCACAAAGAGAAGATTAATATTTGACAATCATTTATTGCTGGTGAAGCAGTGAAACACCTGCATCACCAACACTGCTCCCACTCTAACCATGCTTCTTCATGTTCCAGCACATGTCTCTTTCTATGCAGTCTCTGGTGACTGCAGGGAATTTCCTGTCTCAGGGCCCAGGCTGCTGTCTGGATGGTCATTACCGGCAGCAGAGAGCATGCGTAAACAATTGTGTAACACTGCGCATATTACACTTACTGCAGAAATTCAATCCGGCGGAACTTCAAGGTGTTATATTCCTTTTATCGTGTTGAAAAATATCCCGTACTGTACATTAGATACACGTGGGGGAGTAGAATCTTTCATAATATAAGAAATGATGATTAGATGTCCACGTTGTAGTCAGAATATTCATTTTCAGTGATGCGCGTTAATGCAACAAGTAGAAACCTGAGCGCACCTAGGCCTCCATCCTGTCCCCTCTGGTGGTCTTGATCACTGATAATTTAAACTTCCATTGCGCAAAAGTGGCACATCTTGATGATAACTCGTCAAAAAGATGAAATTGACCTCAGCTTCACGTACAACCAATCAATTGTATTGATTGTAAAGCGACACACCCCTCTGAGTGTTGCGAAAATGTGGCTGGTGAGCTCCCTTTTTTATTTTTTTTATTTTTAAAACCACTGTAATCAAATAGCAGAAAATGAAAGAACAGCTTGGATACAGTGTGGGGTTGGTCTTACCTTGAAGGATTCAAGTTAAGAAGATGAGAACCACGAGCTGGAATGTGTGCGCTCCTCGATGCTGTTCTTCCGCAGAAGTGCTGCTGCCGTGTGGGTGTCTCCCGGTATTTAAGGACAGCCTCTGTGCGCCCTACGTGCGCGCATACTAATGACTGCGCTCTGTTTCCGTGGAAGCTTTGCGTGTTGTATGTCACGTCCGCGGCAGGATGCGGCACACAGATCTGAGACCTTACGCGCCGTGCATCTCTGCTTCTCCTTTAGCATTTATGAGCAGCTTGCTTGGAGATCGGTAAGAACGTGAACGCACTTTCGTTCCAACCTGAGGATCGTTATATCGTACCAGAAATGCACGAGATATAGTCTTAAAAATCACACCAGGAGTCCCAGACAACCTGTCTAGCTCCTAGCAGATGCAAATGAAGGATGGTGGAGGAGAAACCCCCCACAAAAAGACTTCCAACAGCCTGATTTCTGGCTTCTTCCGCCATTATTTCTTCTGAATACAGGCTATATAGCACAAATACGACACAAAATGAGCCAGATGATAAAACTTAACAACAGTGTTGCGTTACCAGGGCTCAGCTACCCCGGAAGAACCTGTTAGTGGTGTCATAATCCGTGCGTAATGGAGATTTCCTAACATTACATGACTCATAGAGGATGCTCGTTTTTGTGTGTTAAAGGTGTATAAGGTGTGTAGTTTATCCAGGTGGAGCAATTTTTACATGTTTGCGCCATATTTCATTTGATTCCTTGTGAGAGAAGATAAAGTTCAGATTTAGTTTGAGAGTCTGGACACTGTGGCGGCGAAAATGAGGAAATGGTCACTGCACAGCCTCCTATGATTGGACGGTGTCAGACAACCAGATCTGAACAGCCTCTTTTTTTGCACCACCTCCTGTCCACTTCAGGTTATTACAAGACTGGCCAGGTTACCCAACCCTTCCACTTCTATTACATATCTGCGGAATTTTCTTAGTCACACAAAACTAATCCGGCTGACAAAGAATCCTGGAGTTGTAAAACAGTTGCAACACAGCATTTCCACCTCTTTTTTTTATTGTTCTAAATCATTGTCTGGCTCACAGTGGCACCAGAAGTCCGTGCCCTCGGGCTATCCACTTCCAGATATATGTCAAATGATGCAATTTGTACCTATTGTGGACGGGGGAGGACTTTTTGAGCAACACAATGAACTGTTAGGTCATGATTCTCAGTTATGTGACAAAATATACAAGAATAAATGGACAGAGAAGATTACATCAAATCCACAGCATTAGATTTCTGATCAATTTATTATCAAATCACTTCGACAACAGACGAGCAGTCTATTAAATATTACATTCCAGCAAACGCTAGCTTTTACAAATGATATTTTTCGTCCTCTGCCCGACATGTTTACTGTGCATTCTTAGCCAAGTATGTGATGACACATGAAACTTGCTTTGAGTGTTTAGTAACTGCAAAGCAATACAGGCGACATACATAAAATACCAGACGATACACAACACATAAAGTATGTAGAGAGGTTAAATAATACATTGATACTACTCAGCTGTTTATGTAAGAGATAGGATAAGGAAAGAAACTGCTCCTGAGCCCGATAGTTCTGGTGAAGGCTCCAGAGTTATGTTACACCTGCCCGAAGGGAGGAATTGAAAATCAAGGTTGTGTCCAGGATGTGGTAACTTGTAATGATTTCCCCAGCTCACTTCCCGGTTCTTTCAGAGTGCACGCACTAAAAGTTGGGCAAGGGAGAAGCAGGGATTTTTTTTGCTGCTTTTTTTTTACTATGTGTTCCTCTTTTGTGGCTGTATAGTTTACTATTTGCTCCTAAGTTCAATGAATGCGGTGTAGAACTGTCTCAATGACAGTCCTCTGGCAAACCTTGTTTAGTCGTCGCACATCGTCTACTGAGCCTTTTCGAGGATGGAGTGGATATTGATCTCCCACTTCAGGTCTTTGCAAATGGTAGTTTCCAGAATCGTAGCAACTTGTATTATCGAACACGGCAGTTATATGCTGTGAGAGGGAGCAGGGTTGAGGAATGGCTCCTCTCAACAATCTTGAGTTTGTTCAGTTCCATGGCTGTTCTGACACCAGCAGTCGTTAAACCTCCTGCCAATATGTAGACTTAATACCACCTCGGATGAGTCTGATCACGCTGGTGTTGTCTTCGATCATTAGGCGTTTAGCAGCCGGGCCCTCGGAGGTGCCGTCGTTGATGTCTCACTGCCTCACTTGTTGTTTTCAGGTAACAAATACTTGCAGATGGGCAGGGATAAAGTGACTCGGGAGAGTGAAGAGGCAGAGATTCCTAGAATGACAAACAGGATCCTGAGTGGTTGAGGTGTGCAGGATGTCATGCAGACCTATTTTTAACTGATGCTTTCACTAACCTGCTTGCAAAGTAAGCAATCTGCTGGGTTTCCATCAGGTTTCCTCCTGCTGAGGAGTTTTTCTTGACACCAGGTTGACAGCGGAGTGTCTGTTGAAGATCTGACTGGAGACAGTTTGTCCGCACAGGCTTTAAGATAAGATCAGGAGATACCATCTGGATCACATCTCCTTCACATTATCCTGAGTGCCACTTGAATATTAAGAGGAAGGATAGTGGGAGTTGCCAGAGATGTGATGGGAGGTTGTTGTCGTTGGGTTCCTCCCTCTCAAACCTCCAGCAGAGGACACACAGGTCGACAGCCAGGTCTGTGTTTTGAGGATTGGGTGGAGGATGGAGGGTGCGCTCCTGCAGTTTGGGATGTCTCCTCTGATGTAGGGTCACTGGCTGATAACCTGTTTTTCAGCTTTTCGGTGTAGCTTCTTTCAGCCACCCTGACACAGTGAGATATAGTGAGTTCCACGCCTGTCTGTACAGGTTTCTGTATTCTATAGGAATCCTAGAAGCACGTTTAAAAAAATCCTATAATACAAGACAAATGTAATCAGCAGCAACATTAGGTGTAGAGTAGAAAACAACTTTTAATTTTTAGATTTGGTTCCTAAATGGAGGACTTTAGTAGCTGTTATTTAGAAGTTGTGCCCATACCATCACAGGGACTATACTGGCCATTTTCAACCGAATGGCTATATAAATTGTGTTTGGACAAACCTGGAATTTCCCAAGCATGTATGTTCAGTTTAATATGTTCCTCTGGAAGTCCTGTGTTTGATGAAGCTGCAAAGTGATAATATTGATCTTTATTTATTGAGCACTTTTGAAAATCTGGGTTGGAGCAGCTTCACAACGCAGCAAAATAACACAGAAAAGTCACAAAATCATCAGAATTTAGATTAAGACTCAACATGGTGTAGTAAACCATCATAGTGCTCGAAGCAGTAGAAACACTATTGAAAGAAAGATAAGACAGTTAAAAGGAAATAAAAACTTAAAACAACACTAGGAGAGACTCTCTGATTAGCTGATATGATTTCCTCTGGGCCCTGATGGCAAATGCTGCTCCTCCTTTTGTTTTTAGTCAGACCCCTGGAACAGACAAAAGACCTGAAAATCTCCCAGGTGCACTTTGATGCATTCGATAATAAAAGGTCAGAAGTATGACTCAGAGATGAAATATAACCAGATCAGAAATATAACAAAAAAGATGAGGCCATCTATGGCTTTAAAGCTGATCAGTAAAATCATAAAATCTATCCTAAAACATACTGGGAGCTTAAATAGGAGGTAAATGCTTGTGTTTCTTGGTTCTTGTTGAAATGACACTCTTTTAAAATTGAACTAATTTGTCCCAACAGGTGAAGATCTCCAGGAGCATGAAGATGAAAAAAGAAGAACTCAGGTATCCCAGGATGGTTTTTGTACAACAACGACCAGGAGTTTGGTGGCGTTGACCTGCTTGACCTTTCAAACAAATCAGAAAAATCCTGCATAGTCATCATCAGTCATAATATACTGACACCTAAAATACAATATAGGACAAGTTTAAAAGACATAAGTGGATGGTGAACTGGGACATATGAAAATTAAATTTTTACCTCCTCTAACTACTCCAACACAACTTAAACTCAACTTTTCCAAGGCCCTGAGTTCATAGATGGAGCCTCAGAGGGTTGATTCAACTGATCAGAAAGTTAATTCACTCATTCTCTAATTCCTCCAAGTACAGAAATCAGATATCAACTACCGTATGTAAATACTCCCCACTCACAAGACAATCCATTCCATGTGATCTGACCGGGTGAGCTGTGTCAGATGGTTTTTGTGTGCTCTGTCAAATCAGTATCGACTTCACAGAAAGCACAGGAAAATTTAACTGATGAAATTCGGTTATATTTGCGTATGAGTGTATATGACTGGGAACAAAATGGTTTGTTCAGTTCAAACACAAGATCACAGGTTGTCTTAACGTGCAAAGTCGCACGATTTGAATCAGTTTATGACACGGCACACTTGTATTTTTCCTTCTTTTTTTTTATTTGTAGGCTTAATTTCTTCTTCTTTTGTGACAAGTTTTGGCCCATTTACACCATTTAGTTTAGAGCTTAATTAACCCTCCTGTTATTGTTGGGATTAATTTGACCCCATTCAATGTTTAATATCTCTAAATAAGTCATTGACAGATTTTTTAAAGTTTTATTTAAAGGGCTATTTACACATAAACTTGGGTAACAATTTTAATTATGATATTTTCTGGAGGTTTAAAGTTCTGCAGGCAAATTGAACCCAAGGATAAAAGATGTCAGTAAATTTGAAGGTAATAGGAGGGTTGTAAAGGTTAGTTTTTGTGATTTGATCCAGATTTTTATCAGCAAGTGGCTCAATACCAGCATCTGACCAGCAGGAGGCGCTATCATAAAGGCAGCGGAACAACCTCCGGGCTTGGTTCTAGACTGATAACATTTCCACTTGGACTGGAGTTCTAATTCGAGCACCAGCTAACCAGTTAATCTGTCCAACGAAATCTTTCGCCGAGCAAGCCCGGAGTAAATCGATTCAGCTATTAATTCAGAATTATGCAATCAATTCCATCTGTTTTTAGGTCATTCAATATTCATCACATTTAAACATTAATGCTGTAATACTTAATGAAGCGTGGAGTGTTTGTGGTGCAAAAATCGGCCTTTT